AACTCGTTCACAATATTAAGCCCCCGTACTGGATGCTCCATATGTTGTGCGGCTGACCTTTTGGATTCAGGCCAATGAAATGTGAATCCACGTAGCTTCCCTATCTGCACAGCTTGTTCAAGCCAGCCAGAAACTGGTCTTCCCTTTAAAATAATGAGGTAGACATTTATTCTCAGAAAGGTCAGCGATGACGTCAGTGGGCAGGCAGACATATCTCCTTTGGTGCCCAACTGGTGAGCTCGTCATTCTCTCACTAAACAGAGATAGAGCGAGCTATCTTGAGACTGGTTTGGGGCCAAACTCACTGTTTTGTTTCTGGTGTTTGGACACTAATTTTGGTGTTTTTCATCTCATTTCTGGATTGTCTCCTGACAGCCGGCACTGTGTCCTCACCCACCCCCAAGCTTCACGGCTATTAAGCAGTTTTACAAGAATTGTTGGCACTTATGATGCTTCCTATCACTCCTGTGAAGGGAGAGTTTTGTTGCCAAGTTTCCGGTCCTTGCTTCCTGCTTTGTGACAAGGAGGCTCTCCAGGGAACTCAATGGAGCAGAAGAGAGCAGGGAAGGATGAAGTCAGGCCAGCGATAATATCACAGCATTGCGAGAAAGCCCAGCTGGACATAGAGGCCAAATTCTGCTCCATGACAGGCTGTCTTCTTCCCCAAACTTCTCTGATACTGCCGGGGATCATTCAAAAACCAACAAAAAGGGATATTCCAGAACCTAATTGGGGAGCCTGTTCCTTTGCTGAAAGGCAGTGAGGAGAGGAAATTCTTCCAAACATTTGCAGTGGGTTGAATCCAGGTGTATGTGAATGGTGTTCCACTTGCATATCAGAGATTTCCTGCCATTTCTTTACTTCTGAAGCCATTTGGGTTCCTGGAAAGCCAGGGCTCCTCTAGAACGTTGTTGAATATGGCCTGTGGGACTGAAGCTGGTTTGGTGTGTGTGAGAGAGAATTGGCAGCACTTAGGCATTTGTGTGAGCTGGAGGTCCTACCACTTAAGGGCCTCTTTGACACTTGCCCTCTATATTATCTATATTCCTTTCTTCAGCACATAAGGCACCCATTTCTTCCTGACATCCTGTTAAATATTTGAAAGTGCCAATTTGTCAAGGGCTAATTAAAGGTTTATGAAGGGGCATGAAGACTTCCTGCCTATTGCATATTTATGTGCCAATAGACTTGACATGAAATAGATACTGCCCATGGAGGCATACAGCTTCTTATCCCTTTAGTTTCTGAAGCGAGTCCGTAATTTGTTTATGAGCTGAATACTCCAAGGTTATTCAGCTGTTCCTTCCATAGTTTGAATTCTAGCTATTTTTTCCTGGTAGCTTCCCCTCCCCAAATCTTTCCAATTTGTCCATGTCCTCTCTGAACTGTGGTATATTACTTACAGATAGTCAAAAACTTTTCTTTTTTTCGGCTGTTCAATAAAGTTTTCCAATCCTTCTGTGTTTCAAAGTGGGCTCCATGCTTTCCTACAGATAAGTAAAGAAGCAATTAGGGAAGCTTACTTGTAAAATACTTAAGTTGCCTCATGACTTGCTATGTTGGACTCCTTTTTCGATTGAAGTGTGGGATAAAACACTTTAGCTCTACAAATAATAAATTTGCCAGTCCGTTTCCCAGTTGATCAAATGAATTTACTCTGATGTCTATCCTTTTGGGGAAGTAGATCCTAATCTAACATAGGTATCTGAGCTTCAAAGAAATTTATGGGTTTTGGGGAAGACATCAGGCACAGTTTTAACCTCGCACTAGCCCCTACTGGTACATTTGTAGGCATTCAGTTGACACTGATCATATTCTGGTTCTGTGGCTTCTCCAGAGTAAGGGGCACATGGCTTGGATTCTATGCACAGCTTGAGTTGCTGATTTCACAGGCTTGGAAATCTGACTCTTTCCACCCAGTATTGATGACCCAGAAAGCAAAGCTCCTAGAACTGATATTCCTGGAGCCTTTGAAATTTATACAAATGAACACTGAATAAAAATGTAATGACATATGGAGTGCCTTTCAGGATTGCTTTGATGATAACTGTATTCCCTCCCCCATAGCAACAGCTGCTGTGACATAATATCTCACCTGGCTGTTTGCCCAGGTGACACAAAAAATTCCTCTCCTGCCTTCCCACTTTCTTTTTGCATGCCCCCTGACAAACACACACACCCTGTTACTTTTCCTACCTACCAGGAAAAAAGACTGTATTATGCGAATTCACAGCAATCAAACAGCTAACAAGAATGCAATTTATTATCAGTTTCTTCTCTTTCATTTACATTTGTACTGTGAAGAGAGATTTAGTTTTCTGCATTTAAAAAGAAAAAAAGATTTAAATTGTTTGTGGTTTCTCTTTTTATTGCTAAAGAAACTGGAGCATTTAAACAACCTGTGGATAAAACATACTGGACGCTCCTAATACTTAATAAAATTACATTCATTTTCACTGCTTGCTTTGTGGTCCCTGTGGTTACTTATCAAGGCAACAGGATTGCTTTCTTCCTGTAACTTTTAGTGTTTTATGAACTGCTGCTTTTGATTGCTCTACTTTTAATTGATAGCTTATCTGAATGCTAGTTTAGTATTTGCAGCGGTGTAGTTTTAATTGTTTATTTTTATTGCACAGTGGTATTCTTTGTAAGCTGTTCTGAGTATAAAGAACAGAAAAGCAGGGTATAAATAACAATTACACAAATGATAATGCTAATTTATCATTTCCAGCTGATGAACCCCCAGCAGATGATGAAAGTGCTTTCTGGACCTCACATACAAAGCTTTGCATTTACTTTCCTCCAGTCCATCAAATCAGCCTGTCCAATTTTCCAGTCTTCCATTGTGCACCAGCTTCTTGCTATTATCAGCAATTTCATCAAGACATTTCTCATTGCAAGTGATTACAAACTACAATAATCATGCTGAACACTGCAATAGTGTAATGATTTCTTCTTCTTCCATGCAAGACAGCATTTTAATTTTATTTTCTACTGGGCAACTGCGGGCAGGGGAGATGGCATGCAACTGACAACTGGAGAAACCAAGTCACCAGCCACATGCTCACCAAAGTCTGTGGAGAAGTCATAGAACAGCAAGCGTATATTCCACAATTTCTTAGTGACTGTCCAATCTAGGATTCATTCTGTTTTCAAGCAACTGCAGTAGCTGCTGAACATTATGATCCCCACCCCTGGGAGGTAAAATCTCAGATCACACTAGGAAGGCAGCCCAGATCTGTAAAGGGAAGCAGACTCATGCCACGTGAGATATTCCCAAGTGGAGATTCGTGCAGTTATTGATTTTTCCCAGGCTGCACAGAATTCTTTGCTGCAAATTAAAGGGGCCAAACGAGGTTAAGATTCTTGGGCCACATTCTCAGCTGGTGTGTGCATCCACTTACTTTACTGGAGGTGTGCCAGTCTCCAGTCACCCAGAGTGTATTTAAACACCGCGGAGGGCTGCAATCCTAAGCAGTCCTGCTAGAAAGCAAGTCTCATCTAATTCCAAGGGACTTGCTTCTGAGTAGACATGCTTAAGAAAGTGTCTCATGTTTCCTACCCAGCGAGTGCATTGGTTAGCGATGCTGAATAGATATACAGTATTTTTCCCCCTACTCCTTTTCCTTTGTGCCCGTTAGAACTACCAAGGGAAGTGAGAAAGGCCTCCTGGGAAAGCTACAAATCTCTGGAAGGCTTAAAGGAAATAATAATAATAATAATAATAATAATAATAATAATAATAATAATAATAATAATTTATTATTTATACCCCGCCCATCTGGCTGGGCTTCCCCAGCCACTCTGGGTGGCTTCCAAAAAAATATTTAAATACTGTGATACATCAAACATTAAAAGCTTCCCTAAACAGGGCTGCCTTCAGATGTCTTCTAAAAGTCTGGTAGTTGTTGTTCTCTTTGACATCTGATGGGAGGGTGTTCCAAAGGGTGGGTGCCACTACCAAGAAGGCCCTCTGCCTGGTTCCCTGTAACTTAGCTTCTCGCAGTGAGGGAACCGCCAGAAGGCCCTCGGTGCTGGACCTCAGTGTCCAGGTGGAACAATGGGGGTGAGAAATGCTTCAAGAGAAATGCTTCAAGAGGATCCTAGAATGGGGTTGCATGTTTGAAATTCACATTTGAGAGATGTTATGAAATGCAGTGAGAACTAGGCACTTGATTGGATGGCTCTTGTCACAAGTTTCAGGTACTGGCAACGTCAACAACTAGGGAAGCAGAATTCTAGTGAACTGCCAGTTCCAAAGGTTCAGAAGCTGTAAATCAGGAGTCCGAAAGTGTGAGCCTACATGAAAATAAAAGCTATTAAGGAAAGGGTGGGTAACCAAATTAAGGTCCTGTCACCTATTCAGACATTCTGTATGATTTACACACAGAAGGTTCATTTTACACAATTCTCTAAAAGATGAACAGGGTGTTAAACAATTGTACACTTTCAGAAGACTGTAGAAAGGGTGGGAGCAGGCAGACTGTGCACTGTGAGAGTACTAACTCCCTCGGCTCTGTGTGTGTGTGTGTGTGTGTGTTCGAGAGAAACTAATTCAGATGCAAAATTTTAAACCAGGAGCGTGCTATTCAAAGAATAGTAAGTATTACTAGATTATTTTTATAGCAGGAGGTTAATTTCTGGCTTCTTGGAGCACACTATGTTATTTCATAATTTTAGTGTTTCTCTATAATAATCAGAAATGCTATCTAACAAAAGCTGAACCTATCAGGATTATTTCTAAAGGTTCTCCCTTAAGCAATGAAGCCCAGTTCTTTGCCATCTTAACTGATTTGTTCCACAAATGAGGAGTGGGAGAAGGAATCTGTGATCTGTTTAGGGTTTAGAAATTATGCAGAAACACCACCTCTGGGAGAGAGTTGCTCCTAACTGTGTCTGTTCAAATATATACAGCTTCATCTTAAAGGTTCTGATGGTTAAGGTGCCCTTTTTGATTTAAAAAATGATTCTTGCTTTTAGTGACAACTGAAAAATAATCATTACCAGGAAGTAATTTTTATTGCTTATTGCTCTCTAGCGGTGAGATGGGATATAGCACAAAGAAAAAGCAAAACTGTACATTGTAAGCTGGCAAACGCCCAGCGCTACAACACCCAGAAACATGTAGGAACATATGAAGCTGCCTTAAAACAAGGCAGCCCATTACTCCATCTAATCCAGAATGATAACAGACAGTAGCTTTCCAAGGTCTTAGGACCCAACGTCTGCTTAATGGAAGACATCAAGGGACAGAACTTGGAGCTTTCTACATGCAAAGCACGTTGCTCTATAAGTATGCATTGCCCCTCACATTTAGACACTGTGACATTTGTTCTGAGGCATGTCCTGGATGGCTACACCAGCTGTTAGCAGTGACTGGCACAGTTCAGAGTTACTGCTATAGGCAATTAGGGGCTGTCATAAAGACAGCGAGGCCTGATATCCCTCATGCTTCTTAGCAGAGACTCAAACGTTCAGGCAGAAAGCAGGCAGGCATGGTAGCACCTCAGGAATTTACCAGCAGAGATGAACAATCACACACAATGTTGCATTCATTCAGTATTTTTTACATGGGGCTTGTGAGAATAGCATCTACTCCACAGGGAGGCTTGCCTGCTCCAAATGTGGGGGCTCCCTCAGCATCTCCTGGTGGAGCAGAAGTGCAAGCTCCTCTGAAATGGGTCCAGGGGGTGGGAAGCTGAATTTTTTGCTTTGTAAGAACTTAAGAAGAGTGTGGCTGCATCTGACCCAAGGGCCATCTGGGGCAGCATCTCACAGTAGCCAACAAGCTGCTTATGGGAAGCCTGCAAGTAGGACCTGAGTTCAATAGCACTTCCCCTATTGCACACCACAGCAGCTGGTATTGAGAGGACGGAGAACACAGCCATGTGGCTAGCAGTCACTGAGCCTTGCCGTCCCCAAATTTGCCTAACTCCCTTTTAAAACCATCTGCATTGGTGGCCGGTGCATCTCATAGCAATGAATTCCATAACGCCGCAACATGTGAGGAAGTACTTCCTTTCGCCTGTTCTGAACCTCCCAACATTCAATACCATGGAAATGATCCCAGCTTCTATTATTATCAGAGGAAGAACCTCTTCACTTTCATCCGTGCTCTTCGTAACATGAGAAAGAGTTCAGAGACACTCTGTGCAAACACAACATCCCATGGAAAAGACAATTCTCTTCCCCACCCTCTCAAAAGTGGCTTTATACAGGAAAATAATTGTAATGCGATGTTAAGACTAGCTGCGCTGCACCAAACAATAGGGCATCTGAATTCAGCCTCCTGCCACAGCCTGACATTTGTAGGCACAGAGGCCCTGGGACTTCTGATTTAGAGCTTGGAATGCACAGAACTTTATGCATTTGTGATGTGGCTGCAGGATTGCTGTAAACATGTGGCATCTCCAAGCAGACTTAAAAGCTCATTTGAGCTCAGATGACTGTGAAGAACAGCTTGCAAACACTTGAAGCTGGCCCAGGGTAATGCTCCATGCCCTGCCAAAAATAAACGGGCCATTCCTACATTGGGTATATCATCTCAGCCTCAATGGAAGGGGCTGGGAGCACCCAGCGGGGAAAAGTGCAGGGAAGCAACAGAGCAAGCATTGCAGCAGTAAAGAAGCAGAGGCCTACTGGGTGTAGCTATGGAAACGTTCCCTCCCTGTGGAATTCATGCTACACTCCATATCTCTGGATACACAGGGTACAGATACTCTCAGATCCAGGTCCAGTGGAGACTTCGCAACTACATGCATAATAAAGGACACACTTTTCCTGTTGCCAGGAAAGAATCTCTGAATGCTTCTGAATACCAGTTGCTGGAAACCACAGGAAGAGTGTATGCTCTTGTGTCAGATCCTGCTTTCAGGCTTTCCAAAGGCATCTGGCTGGCCACTGTGAGAACAGGATGCTGGACTAGATGGGCCATTGGCCTGATCCAGCAGGCTCTTCTTAGGTTTTCCGGGGAAATAACTGAGGGCCTGACTCTGAGGCCAAGGGTGCCATGGTTTGGCTTCATTAAATCCTGTAGCCAGAGCCCCTATTTCACTCAGAAGGCAGAGAAATATATCCCCCCGTTGGAGGAATTACTGCTCAGTGTGCATGCCCTTGTCCCTATCTAAGACTAACCTTCTTCAGGCTCTGCCCCTCTACAGGGGGTGGGGTGCGGCATTTTTTATACTAAGGGCCATATTCCCTCATGAGCAACCTTCTGGGGGCCACTTGCCAGTGGCAGGTGGAGCAAGTCCCAAAAGGATGCAGGGAAATGGATGTGACTCTTGTAGGTTTGGACTGTATGGAGGTCAGAGGTTTCCTCACACACCCAACTTCATCTCTCCATCTTGGCAAGCAAAGAGACATTATTGCAGTTCAAGGATTCCAACCAGGCAAGAGCATTTGAGTGGGCCTGGGAAAGAGAGGCAGTGGTGGCAATATGTGCAGAGTGCTGAGGCTTCAGATCGAAAAGCCAGATTCAAGGCCGGGCCTGAGGTGATTTGTAGAATTCAAGATCTACTGAGACCTTTAAGCAGAAGACACACTTAATGGTCAGAAAAAAATTCATGGCACTCCAAGTCCAGCTTCAAAAAAGAACTGAGAAGACAAGCAAATCAATGAAATGAATGCTGGCTGAAGCCCACCCATCTTGCTCCTCTCACTACCCACTTCTCTCTTACAGTGCCACCACCTCCACCTCCTTCTTTGTTTTCTGGCTAGGAAAAATTAGCAAAACAATCTGCAGCTTAGTGCCTCCATCACAGACTTCATGCTGGAGTAGGAAGAAACGAACCGGGAGGAAGAGAGGGGATGTAGGTCAGGGTAGCAGAGAACATGCTTTCAATGCAGAAGGTTCCAGGTTCAACACCTGGTATCTCTAGGGGTGGCTGGGAAACAATCTGGCCTGGGAACCCTGGAGAGCTGCAGACAGTATCAATAAAACTGAGCTAGATGGACCAGTGGTCTGACTCAATAGTGGGCCACGTCCCAGGTTCCTATGGAATGGCAGGCTACGGGCATCACTTGTGGTTCAATTCAGTTGCAAAGGCAGCTTGTTGCTTGGCTGAAGAATGTGTCCTGAACACTCTTTTAATCGTCTTCTCCTTTACCCATCACATACACATGCTCTCTTGAAAGGTGCTATCTGCCATTATGTCTTTTGCTATGAATATCTTTGTGGTCCAGTTTACCCCAGCACAGAGAAACTGCTTGAGGATAAAGATAAAGCTGGAAAACAGAAATAAACATAACCGTAGATTGCCGACAAAAACACACACACACACACACACACACACACACACACAATCCTTTTTTTAAAAAAAAACCCAAAAAGTTCCTGTAAGTGAACTTTCTATCTTTCAGGGCTCATTCAAGGTTTGCAGGGAATGTGAAAGTGCACTCTGCATTTTGGCACTGAAGTTGAATGGGTACAAGTTGAACATCCTCATGCTGTAACTTTTCAGAGATCATCTCCAGCTACTTCAAAGCCTGGCCAACTTATGCTTCCACAAGCTAATTCTTGTTTATATCCTACCTTGTGCTTTCAATTTGCACTTTAAGCAACACCTTCACAGTGTGTATCTAATTAAATGAGGTCTCAATGGAAGTCTTCTCTTCGTATGTGTTGCTGATAAATATTAGGCTATAAAAACACGAGGGACCTGGCTTTTATCCACTTTGCGTCGGTCTATGAGCAAGCGCATCCATCCCCCGAAAGATTAAAGTTTTCTCATCAGTAATTTCAAAACACAGGGAGAGTGAAGTGCCGGGACGTGTTTCTCCCCTTCGCTTCAAAGTCAAGGAGGCACTTGAGAGCTCTTTGGCAGTGAGGTGAGAAAAACGAGCTTCGTTTCTTCTGGTTCAGAGGTCTGAGAGCTCTTGAGTCCCACAAGGTGATTTGTCATACATCACGTCTTCCTTCGCTCAGCCACCGGGCCCGATACGTGGTCCACCCCCTTGGGCTCTTATTGGACTGGGAAGCATGATATATTTGTGCCAGCTTGGACTGAATCTTGCATTCCCAAGCCTGGTCATCAAGCTCGGTGGCAGCAGCCAAGGCCAAGAGGAAGTAGTTAGCTGCATCTTGTTCATCCTGAGGATAAAGGGGAGAGGAAAATTAGAGGGGTGAGAAACCAGTTTGATTGACTGTGGGTATCAATGCAGGGACCAAATCATAATGGATGCTCCCCAGATCTCTTTAAGCAAGTTGCACAGTTAGTCAGTCACCAGGGGAATACTGACTTTGCTCTAATTGACCAACACAGATAATTATTAATTAATTTCTGCCTCCACACATCTATTTATTGTATCATTTATTATTTACCCTCCACCATCCTCACTAGCTGCCAATAGGCATCTAACAATAATATATTGAATATTTAATTCAGTATAAAAGCACAGCAATGCAATAAATAAAACTGTAATTAAGAACCCTAAATAAAAGCAAGAGCAGAGAAAAAGCAACACTGAAAATTAAAACAAGCATCCCAAAGAAACACCAGCAGCAGAAACACAAATCACTCTGTCGGGGCAATGGCTTCATCTGGTGGCAGAAGTTTAATAGAGAAGGCTAATTGGGCCTCCCTCAGAAATGAGTTCCAGAGCCTAGGTACAGGCCCTGTCTTGCGACCTTGCAAAACGTGCCTCTGATATTGGTATCTGAAGAAGTGTGCATGCACACGAAAGCTCATACCAAGAACTAACTTAGTTGGTCTTTAAGGTGCTACTGGAAGGAATTTTTTTTGTTCTGATATTGGTGTGAGAGAAGGGAAGGACCTCTCCCAATGATCTTTTAAAAGCAGAGAGAACCTTGAAAATATGATTGCATTTGTGCCTCAAGCAGCATTTTTTGAGAGGAACTCTTCCAGTCATGGCACAGCTTCTAATAAGTTCAGAAACTTCAGCTGGTGCAGAATTCAGCAGCCAGGTTGCTCAGCGGGACAAGTCAGTTTGAGTATGTTTTACCGATTCTGGCCCGACTACACTGGCTGCCAGTTAGCTTCTGGGCCCACTTCAAAGTGCTGGTTTTCACCTATAAAGCCTTAAATGGCTCAGAATTGCAATACGTCAAGGACTGCCTCTCCCCATATGGACTGACCCAGACCCTGTGATCATCATCTGAGGCCCTTATACATGTGCCTCCTCCACAAAAGGTCCAGAGGGTGGTAACGTAAGAATGGGCCTTTTCTGCAGTGGCTCCCCACTTGTGGGATGCTCTCCCCAGGGAGGCTCGCCTGGTGCCTTCATTACATATCTTTAGGTGCCAGCCAAAAATGTTTCACTTCAACCAGGCGTTTGGCTGACTAACATTCTATGGTTTTTAAAATGTGTTTGTGGGAGGGAGATTGTTGGTTTGTTTTTGTTTTATTATGAATTTTGTGTTCTCATTTTTTGTTTTCATGTTGTGAATCACCCTGCGATCTTCAGAAGGGTGGTATACAAATTTTAACAACAACAACAATAACTCTGTTTCATACCTAGCCACAGAGAATGAGGTGGGGTGGTCTAGATTGCCAGAGAGAAAAATTAGCATCAAAGGGAAGTAGCAGGGCTATTGAAAAGCAAAATTAAGGTTCAAGACCTGTGTGTCAAACTGAAATCAGAGGATTTGGAGGTCCAGGGAAGATTGAACAGGTTCTGGAACTGCAGCAAGACAGAAACCAGCACAACAGAGCACGTACATCACCACAAATGGGTGGCATTTTCTGGAACAATTCATGGCAACTGATGACTGCAGGCTCTTAGATTTTTAATGGGATAGTGAAAGACTTCATTTAAGCGCAAGGTCAGATGAAACTTAGCATGTGGCCTTGCCACATGCTTAGTGAGATTCATCACAGGATGTGTCACAGACTGCTGTCACTCACCTTTAGTTTGTGCAGGGTCAAATCTCCCAGGCGACAGTAAACCTTGGAATAATACATAGCTTCCTGAGCGCCTTGCAACAATGGTGAGCGCAGAGAGAGTGTCCTCAGGTAGCAGTCCTCAGCCATTTCATACATTTGCAGACAATAGTACACTGTCGCCAAGCGGTGAAAAGCAACCAGTTCTTGCAACTGATCTCCTTAAATTAGAATTAAAATTAAAATTAAATAAGATTAATGATACATCCTACTAATATACAAATGAGTACATGTTTGGTGACTCTGAGTGCTGTATGAATTGAGGATGCTTCTCAATTTCCTTCTTTCTGAATTTCTGTGTCTCCCCCCCCAAAAAAAAACCCCCAACAACAGCAAAACAATGAGCAGTTCCTCTGACTTAATTTTCTTTGGTTGCAGTGCTGCTGCTACTGCGTGATGCCATTTTCTCTGGCTTTTCAATGCATATTCCAGTCCCTATGTCCTAAAAAAAATCTGTGTCACTGTCAATTTCATAGCATAAATTCATGTCAAACTCTTGACAGATAGGTTTCCCATCAATTAAAACAAAATAAATATATATGTCATTATGGTCTCCGTTGTATGAATTTTTTTATACATTATGCATTTTTTAAAATGCAGTTTTTCATTACACAAGATTAGAAGTGTCCATTACTTCTATGAAAAGAGGGGGGAAATTCACAGCAAAGAAGGGATGGACTGAACGGCAACTCTTGCACTTTAATATAACTACAGAACAGACTATAAATCTAAAATTGGACACACTATTTCTAAAAGTAATTGCAGAAAATTTCTACTGAAAATCAAAAGATAGGAGCAGCAAAACAGATTTATACATTGACAGATTTAGGGAGATCTACACACTCTTCCTCAGAATGAATACACACTGCATTGTGGCCAATGGTAGCTAACCCACATTAAAAAGCTGGTTGAGTTTATGGATAATTGGCATAAAATGGTGGACTGGAACAAGTATCAGTTTATTTCAGTTATTTCTAGACTACTGGCTGCAGCCACACTAATATAAAGCCAATAATGTTAACATAACGTAACATAACAATTTTGCTGGATCAGGCCAAAGCCCATCTACTCCAGCCCTCTGTTCTCACTGAGACCATGCGCATTGTCTTGGTTAGATAATTTCTGGTTGAGACATTGGAAGAATTCATTTGGGGAAAGATGAACATATTTGGGAACTCTTCCTCAGTGACAGGGTCCCCAGCAATGAATGATAAAACTCCTTCTTTTCTTTCTTCAGTTCTTAAAATCAATACGGACACACCTCCTTTGCTTCCAAACAGGTATCTATCTCCAAGAGCAGCAGCAGAAGACATCTCTTACTTAGGCATTTGGTGACATTCTGTGCTCTTTTTCTACCTTTACTATCTTGGTTTTGCAATGTAGCTATTTAAAATATTTTTAGCCTGCTCTTCACTGCAGAGTGAGTTGCTATTAAAATGTGTATTATAAAAGTGGCTTTTCCAGGAACAGCAGTCTCTCTAATTCCTGGTCCATTGCACCTCTCCCTGGGCGCTTTCCACAAGATGGCTTAGACATTACTGTGCTATGTTATCCTTAGTCCTTTCCTACCTACATCCACACTGAGCCTGGTTGCCAAGGTAGCAAATTCCAAAGCCTTCTCATAATTCTGGAGTCCGAGCTGCAGCTCCGTCAGCTTGTTGAACACTCTCAACTCAGTCTGCAGCACCTTCAGCTTCCTAGCCAAAGGGACAGCTCCTCCCTGGGGGGAAAATGACACAATGTTTTCATGTCACTTCACAACTTCCTACCATGTCACAGCACCATTCGAGCTGCATATTAGCACTTCGGAGAGAAGGCACTCCAAACAAAAGGGATATGCCATTATACCTGTCTCTTTCCACCATTCAGTACATCTAGCATTTCCCCTTGTGTTTACTAATAGCGTATTGATAATTTAGCATATAGCAAACAAGACATTACTCCTCCAAGTCGCCCCCCCCCCATTCATCTCATTCATCTCTACCCACCCAATATCAGCCACTTCAACATCCTCAAAGGAAAAGAACTTGGAATACATTTAGGTTTTTTTAACAATATTCATTATTATTACAAGGTCTTGTAGAGGAAATTGTGGAGGAAATTGGAGTGCCACGTCTCTCTGTGACTATTTCTCCTTCAAATTCTCATTTTCTAACGAGTCAAAATAAACCCAGCAAATCCCAGGCCTTGACATTTTCTTCTCATATGATAATTAGCATAAACACAGTCATGTATTCTGCCCTATCCCTTGTACCCCCCCCCCCCAGAAGAAAAAGAGATTGTTACACAATGTGTGTGTTTTGTAACTCTGGAACTTTGTTCCATTGGCTTTTGTCTAGAAACTGTAAGGCAGCCTTCCGCAGCTGGAGCTGATGGGAATTACAGTCTCAAACATCTGGAGGGCACCAGGGTCAGGGTAAGCTGCAATAAGGGCCTGCCTTTAAGCTACATGTCAGCTCTGTTCAATTCAACCTTCTGCTACTACAAGAATGATGCAATGTGCAAACTTTTCTTAAAATCAAATAAAAATTTGATAAAAAACTAATGCAATCAAGGCTACAGTTGGAATAATCAGTCTTTTATACATTCCAGGCTTTCAAAAATGCTATGAAAAATGACCTTTAATCTAGGGAGTTCACTCCTTTGTATCTAGCCATGCTACATTGGTGCAGCAGAATATTTCTGCCTATGTTCCCCAACTGAAACACAATCTCCTGCTTTAAAATAAGCATCCAGTGAAAACAGCAAGACAGAATGATAATGTTTAGTAAGGCCATGAGACAAACCAAGCCTACAGAGCCCCACTTGAAGTCCTAATGAAAACAGCCAGAGAACAGCAACTCTGAGGCATTCTCATATGACTTCACAACTACATTCTTTCTCATGTGGAATATATTCTTGCTCATAAAGACTCTGCAAACGGTATAGAAGCACTATAGTTCAATAAACCTATGAACAGTCACGAGGTGTGTGAAAAAGCATGTCTCCTTAAACTTCCTCCCTCTACCTCAGCATAGGCTATCTCAATCCATGTCAGTAATACTCAAGTGCAGTCGTGATAAGGAGATCTCCACAGATACAGACATGAGTGCCATTTTTGTGTGTGTGGTTGATACCCTGTAATAGTCCACTGCCTTTTGTCTGTTCCGGATCCCATTGAAAAAGACATCACCAGCCTCTTCATATAGTTCCATGGCCAAATGCAGCTCTTCAGATTTCAGTGACGTCTGTATGGCTGCCTGGGAAAGGGATCAGGTCAGGGTAAGAGCAATGGCAGTATCATCACACAAAAAGAATGCAAGGTATGGCTAAAAGATATGACTGAATGTTATGCCCGGCCCTTCATCATTGCAGCATATATGCAATGTTCATGTTTGCTCACAATATAGTAACTATAGTGGTACCTTGCTTTTTGAATGTCTCCATTAACGAACGTTTCAGTTTTCAAACACCATAAACCCTTGTAAATGCTTCGGTTTTTGAACACTTTTCATAAAGTCGAACATGCCACACGGCTCCCGTATTGAGTTTCCAGTTTTTGACCGTTTCAGAACTCAAACGATCTTCCGAAATGGATTACGTTCAAAAACCGAGGTACCACTGTATATGAATGCCATTTGCTATTTACATTCAGGTGCAAACCAATTCAATATTCCTACACAGCTGCCTACAAATCAGTGGGGTTGTACTGGCATGGACAGAGGCATGAGTCTGAATTTCTATTGCAAACATAAAGTCATTTTCTCCAAAACTGTAGTGCACTCATGATTACGAAGGAAAAAGTGATTATCACATATGCTAAAAGTTCCAAAATTATTGCACACTTCTATTGATCAGGGGGCCAATGTCCGCCTGCCTCACTCCATAGCTCCCCTTCTTTCTCCACCTTCCTTCTGTACTGTGGCATCTATTGCTACAACACTCTTCTATTTAACTCCCTCTTCCCCTCTAGCATTCATCGCCAGTCTCCCCAGGGGGGAAACATCCAAATGTTGCAAATAAATCCATATGCTTCAATAACATTTCTTCAATTTTAAATAATCACGGGTGTTCACTTCATGAGCTCTTCAGTAATGGAATTTGAGAGTTTGGGCACAAATAAACCTTTTATCAGTGTGCCGCGAGTCATTGCACATTTCATACCCAAGTGAAGCTCTGAGCATATAAACCTGCATGTGAGTACAATATACAAGACTTGTGCCTCTCCCTCAGCCAAGATCTGTTCAGTGTCCATCAACTGGTGGGAAATTTACTGCCACTGCTGACACTACTTCTCTTAGACAGTGACTCTGACTCAGCAATCACCATGCGCCAGACACTGAACATTAAATCAAAAGATAATGATTTTCCTGCAGATAGCAGTTTGCTATTTATTAGTGTTTGGAACCTCATCTTGGCAATCTTACATCACATAGCCATTAGTTAGACACAACCAGTCCTCTTACTTTTACTTTACCTGCAAATACATTTCCACAAGTTCATCCTCTTCCATTTGATAGTAAAGCCTTCCAGCCTGCAGCCAGGCCTGCGCTGTTTTGACCGTTTCCTCCAGGTCAATGAAGATTCTCAGACTCTGTTTGGTATAATCCAGGGCCCGTTTCACATATCTGTGGGTTTGATGGAGGCTCCATTATTGCAAAGAAAATGTGGGAGCTTGTGCATCAAGTCAAAACAAACCAATCCTTTCTGACCAGCCCTGCAAAGCTTTCCTTGCATCATTGTTTCCTAAGTCCGACACAAGCTGAACGATGGTCCCCTTTCATTTGGTGCTAAACTTAACAGAGAAGCTCTTATAAAGCAGGTGGAACAGGCCAGGCATGTCATAATCACTTACTGTTCTAAGAACCCTACTGCATTTGGTGTAAGGAAAACAGTGGCTGCCACTGTAGTTCTGTTATCAAGGAGTGTCCTGCCATGGAACGATGCCTTTCCTATTCCCTACAATGAAGTCCAGTTCACACTGTGCAACAGAGAATAGCCTCTCTATGTGCAAGAATGAGTCTGAGGTTCATAACTAGCAACATATGAAATGTGTGTTTACATCACCTATGAAATCTGTTCCCTCCGATCGTGGTAAATGGATTGCACATGAGATGTTTGCACATTAGTAATGGGATCAATATCACACTGCAAACATGGCAAAGAGTAGGCCATCCAGGAGATAACTGTTTGTAGTTCTGATTTTAGTTTGTGGGTTTTTTTAAAAAAGAAAAGTAAGTGTAACTCTCTCTGATGACTTTTCATCTCAGTGGCTACTGACTTCTCTTTTCTTTCTTTTGATTTTTTTTTTAATTTGCTTTTACCAATACAAGTTTATAATCCAGCAATTTATATAATCATCTCTTGAGATTATCTGAATCTCTTGACTGCCCCCCACCCCCTATATGGTTCCTTATTACAATGTTAATAATTGCATATCAGTCTGTTCTCCAAATTTCATTTTTTCTAATCATCCATCGTTAAATTGCAAGTGAGTCTTGGAGTCCAGCTAAAGTTTTAATTTGCTTACAATGGCCTCCTAAATAAATTATAAATTGTTCCCATTCTTTTTCAAAGTTCTTATCCTCTTGACTTCTGAGTCTCCCCCTTAGTTTTGCCATTTCAGCGTAGTCCAGCAATTTGGCTTGCCCATTCTTCCCTAGCCAGGATTTTTTCTTCCTTCCATCCTTGGGCTAGTAACATCCATGCAACTGTTGTAACATCATGCAGGCTACTGACTTTTCAGTGACTCCTGTTCATCAGATAAATGATTTGCTACCATTCTTCTGGGAACCTGTAATCCTCCAGATCTTGCTGAACTACAACTCCCATCATGCCTGACTGCTGGTCATGCTGGCTGGTGATGATGAGAGCTGGTGTTTAACAGCATCTGGAAGGCCACAGATTCCCCACCTCTGGCACAGAAAGACGCTATCACAGGCAGCCAGAAGCAGTCACCCCAAATCTTTTTTTTAAAAAAACCCACTGGTGGGACAGTGCCACATGGCTGAGGAACAGTGAAATTTGTGTTTGAGATGATGGATGAATAAGGTGGTGGCAGGAGATGGGTGAGATTTAAGAACACCCTGTCTGCTCTAGGGTGCAAAAGACATCTTTTCATGAAAGCTGTTGGTCATGTGTGAAGTGCTTCTCTCCTTTTCAGACAGGCAGTATTGGAATGATGTCACAATGGCCTGTCAGTCTTCAGGTGAGCAGCATCAGCATGAGGTCACAATGCCCTTCAGAAAGGCAGTGTCAACACAGGGCCACATTGTTCTCCCTCCCTCACTGAAGCAGAGAGTGGCAGCATGTCTTATATAAACAACTATTTATCTCTTTCACTGGAAAAGCCGGAAGCAGGAAGTGGATACAGTCTCCTCCTCATGGAGGGGGCTCCTCTGTAACAGTATGTGGGTACAATTTCTTTTTTCTTTTATCAGTGTGTCTGTACTGTAGACACCAGTGTTTTCTTTCTGTACTGTAGACACCAGTGTCTCTCTATCTGAAATGGAGGGCGGCATGTAGTCAGAGAAGTGGCAGATAAGGAGTTGATGGGCAGGCATTCCTACACAGTCCTTTCCATTGTGCATCCCTTTTCCTCCAGGGTAACCTGTAATCTTGAGCAAGGAGGCTTACAGTACAAACCTCCTCGGCGTACATTCCTCCCCTCTGAGCTCATTCTGACCTTTCATAGGAAGGTTAGCATCCAGATTCCTAAGCAATCATAGCCAATACTGCAAAAAGACCAGTGGTAACTTGCAAGTACGCAATAGATAGCTGAATTTAAAATTACTGTATTTTTCACTCCATTTTTCGCACTTTTTTCCTCTTAAAAACTAAGGGGAAATATCTGTGCGTCTTATGGAGCGAATGTGTGGTCCCTGGGGATGGGGGGAGGGGAACCCGGGCTTCACCCGCCAGCCCCAACAAGCTCCTGAGCAGCCATGGGGTAGCCTGCGAAGCCTCCGCAGGGCAGCGGGGAGCCTTCATCCGGCTGCCCTGCGGAGGCTTCGCAGGCTACCCCAGAAGCCAGAACAGCTAGAGAGAGTGCTGCGCAGTGCTCCCTCTAGCTGTTTTAGCTTCTGCCCTAGCGGCACAAAGCCTTCATCCCGCTGCCCTGCAGAGGCTTTGCACGGCTATTCCTGGCTTTTGCAGGATGTGGGGGAAGGGACAGAGCATGGCTCTGTCCCTTTCCCCCCCACACTCACAAAAGCCAGGGATAGCGTGCTCCCTTTAAAGAGCGTGCAGCTCTTGCAGGAGGTGGGGAAAGGGACAGAGTGAGGCTCTCTCACTTCCCCCACCTCCTGCAAGAGCCCCCAAGAGCCGCACTCCCTTTAAAGAGCCGCATGGAGTGTGTGTGTGGCTCTTGGGGGCTTTCCCCCGAGGAGGGAGAAGGGCAGCCTGCAAGGGCAGCCTGGGGAAAAGCCTGCAAGTGCTGCACACACGCTCCATGCGGCTCGTGAAAGGGAGCACTGAGCAGAGCCTGGGATGCATACAGGATCTGCTCAGCGCTCCCTTTAAATAATATTTTTTTTCTTAAATTCCCCCTCCAAAAACTAGGTGCGCCTTATGGTCGGGTGCACCTTATGGAGCGAAAAATACGGTAAGTGAACAATATTTATTCTCAGTAGATCCCAGGGCTAATTTACCACCTAATTTACCACCTGCACTAAATGCCAAAAATATTTTCCTGGGGTATTTCATACTATTTTTCAAAATGTTCAAAGCAGTGTACACCCCCCCTTCCAGGCAATACAAACATATTAAAAACTATGTTTCTCAATGGATGTGGATACTTTTTGAACCAAATGTATGGTTTGTTTTAAGACCCATTGTGCCATGTTTTGTGGCTGGTGTAGTTCATGCCATGTGGTCTGTACTCAACAGTGGCATTTAAAATTTCATATTTAAAATATAACGAGTTTGCACTAAAAATGATAAAAGTGAAAATAATTGAAGTTGTCTGACAACAAAATCACTGAAATAAAAAAACATGGTTAGAAACGCCTCATTTTTTCTATCTTAAATGTTGTACATGACGCTGACTCACCTGGTTGTCTGCAGACTCTGGTAGAGCTGGCTGAGGACCTGCAGAAGCTGCCCTTCCATTTCTTTGTCCTGGAGCTGCTGAGCTAGGAAGAGTTGGTGCTCATGGTAGATGATGCAGGCCCCAGTGTTGGGCTGCACTTTGCGATAGAAATGGCAGATGGACTCAGTGACCTGAAGCTGACCTGGATGGTGGCAAGATTTCAACATTTAAAATTGTGGGGTGCAAAAATGTATTGCAGTCAAATACAACATTCCTACAATGCACATGCCTGGGGAATGCTTTGTATCACTCAGGAGAAAACTTGCTAGTTCCTCCTGAGCTGGGACAGACTTCCTTTGCATGTGACTTAATGTGGGTGTGGCCTCTTCTTGGACAGAGGAGCACACGGCCTCCATGTTCTGCTCTTCTTGTTCTCCATTTCTGTGTTTCTAAGAGTTAGGAGAAGGGACTGCTGAGTCGCAGTCACTTGAGCCTATTTCCCTTATGGGATAGTTCACATAGTTATATGTTGTTCTGTAAATTAAGTCTGCCTTCAGGGATCTTGTTGTGAACTGGATGATTGTAAGCAAACTAGTTTTATGTTAACTTTAATCAGATGGTCGTGTCTATTCTTTTAGGAGGGATATAAAAAGGGAAACCAGGAATCTTAAGTCGTGAGGCTCAGATGAGCCAGCAACAAGCTAACCACTGTGTAATTTTAAAGGGGGGATGCTTGGAACTCTGCTAGGATATGGAACTTGAAGCGCAAGTTAGGAAGGATATTATTAAATAATATATCCTCTCCCGCCTCCCTAAACATCCCCACAAAAATAAGGTCAAGGAAACAGCAAATACCACCCTCCATTTCCCCCCTCAACCCACATCCCAATAGTCTAGCTACTCACTCATAATGTTGCGTGTGTTCAAGGCAACGGCCAAGGCGAGTTCATGAAACAGTTTGCTCTCATCTGTCTTATGCATCTCCACCTGGCACTGGGCCAACCACAGCAGAATCTGCACCAGCTCCAGCTGTGCATCATCTCCACCCTGCAGTTCAAAATACAACCTAACAGCCTGGAGAAAGTAGCATTCCGCTAGGCGGCTTGCCTGGCAAGAGACAGCCAGGCACCCAAAGTTGGATAAGGCAATGGCTTGGTTCCGCCTGTTGCCAGTCTCCTGGGCTTTGTTTAAAGCCCTCAAGTAGTTCTCTGCTGACTTCTGCACCTGCCCTTCTCCTTTAAGGGCGATGGCCAGAAGGTTGTGGACAACCCCATCTTGTGTGATGCTGTCTGTCTGTCGCAGAGAACGCAGGAGGCGCAACATGATCTCCGACGCCTTTTCTGGCTGGCTGCTCAAAGCGTACACCCACCCCAAAGAAAGGGAGGACTCAAAAGCTTCCTCCTCGCCCATCACTTTGCCAAGGGCAACTGCCCTGTTCGAATAATGAACGGCTCCTTGTAACATGCCATGTTTGAGGTACATTTTGGATAACACTGCACAAAGGGCTCTCTCCGTGGGCACAGCTCCGTTCTCGTGGGAGAAGGCCAAGGCACAGCTCAGGTAGAGGCAAGCCAAAGCGGGGACGCTACTTCTGCTTCTCCTGTTTTGGATCACCAGGAGCTTAGAAGCATTTGAAAGGATGAATCCAGCTCTCCAAATGGGTGTTGGAGCCCCTTTCACAGGGCTGGGAGGGGAAAGCCTGGCAGATGCCAAGGCAACATGCGGCAAGCACTTCTTCTCATAGAGGTAGGTCAGGAGAGGCATCAGGTCCAAAGAGGGTGCACTGGAGTCCTGGCTAGAGACACTGGAGCACAGGAACTGCAAGCGTTCAGAGAAAGGCAGGACCTCGTCATACTTGCCCAGCTGCAAGAAGAGCCTGACCACAAGAAGGCAGGCCCGAGCTTCCAAAGCAATGTTGCCCATGGTGATGGCTTCTCTCAGAATGTACATCATGACCTCAAGCTCATTCTCAGAACAGAAGCAGTGTCCAGGCAGGCAGGCCAGAAGGGCCACCCCTTTCCCAAGCATGGACAAGAACTTCTGCTTCATCTTCTGCTTCAGGTAAATGGCAGCAAGGTTCGTGTGCAGCGAGGCAAGCAGGGGCAGGTCATCAAACCCTCTGTCAATAGCGCTCATGGCTTCCTCAAAATACACTCGAGCCTGAGAGAACTTGGCCTTCTTGGTGCAGAGGCGGCCCAAGAGAAAGCATATCCGGATGTGAGCCCAAGCAAGGTGACCTCTCTTGGCCCAGTTCCTGGATGTCTCTAGGTATAGGACTAGCTCTTCCTCACTGGAGAAGCCATAGAAGGTGGAACTGAGGAAGGAAAAAGAGAGGTCATAGAGACTTTGGAAATGGGGCACATAGCCATCTTGGTTGAGGAAAGTCAATATAGGGTCAAAGACATCAGAGTCCTCCATGTGCCCAGCGTTCAGGTCAATAAAGAACTTGGGGTCATCAAGGTCATCTGGTTCTGGCAGAAGTAAGTGTTCCAGGGTAGAAGGTGAAGAGTCACCAACAGGACTGGACTTTTCAGAACCACTAGGAGTTGGCAAGCTATTGCTAGCCTGCTTCCCCCAGCTCTCAAACATCCAGCCATCCTTAAGTCCCTGAACAACTGCATCTGAAAGAGAGAGATAAGCCACAAGGAAATGCTTCCCCTCACGAAGATACATTTCAGGAAAAACAGCACCCACTTTCCCCTTCATCCATACTCACCTGATGGCATTCTTGGGTACATTGCCACAGGTTCAAAGCCATCTGTGGGACCCAGAAAAAGGGTGGAAAATATGCAGAATGAGATCATGGGAAGCAAGAAGGCTGCACCTCAAATACTGCACTAAAACCAAAGGCTTTCACTATCTTCATCTCACAACACATTTAGCTTGAACTTGGGAGATGTGCTCAAAGGAGAGAAGACAGGCGTAGGAGGCACCCAGAAGCACTATGACCCCGTAGGTGAAAGGAGAGCTAGTTGTCCATTCTGAATTAGAAAAGTTAATTTTCCAAAAGAAAAATGCCGACAAAATCTGGTTTAAATTTTTGATAAAAGTAGTACTATCTCTTTCATTTATATCGTTTGACCATCTATTTAAGAATATGATGGCTCACTAATATTCAACAGGAATTGATGACGGTGATTCAAAACATAAATGGAGTGAACAGTTGGAGGGAAATGGCAAAGTTGGGAATGACAGGTAGTACAGCACTTTGCTATTAGACAAAGGGCTGTATTAGGGAGGAATGGATACTCACCGAGCCTGTACACAGAAGTGATGTCTGTTTGTGCCCATTCACCCAGAAGATTACTGTAATGCGTCTCATTGCCGTTGGATGGAACCTGCAGAATGGATGCGACTTCTTCTTCACTAAAAAATACTGGATTCTTTTGCCTGTGTTGGGGATAAAACATGGGTAACAGCAAGTCAGTGCTACATCCCATCCTAATCTCTCTCTTTGCCTCTGCTAAGAGACAAAAACTGGTGTCATTTCCAAGGAATGTGTGATATTTCCACTCCTTAACTATTCCTTGCAGTAAAGCTGAAGCTGAGTACCAAAGTTTTAGATGTGGTGAAGGCATTGCATTCCAAGGAAAATCTACTTTACCCAAGAACATATCTGCATATCAGGGGGTGGGGGGAATCTCTAGCAAGATAACTGGGTTTTCCCCACCAACTTGCTGGAAACAAGTTGTGAGGCAAACAGTGAATTTGGCTAAATTAGGACTTGAGGAAACTAGGGTTCAAATTCTCACTCAGCACTGCAAGCAAGTTCATCCCTGGTAGGAACCCACCATGGTATGCTTACAATGATTTTCCACTTCCTATTATTGACAAGTTGAATTGTTTTAAGGAATGGCAAAAGGTATTCTCTAAATTTATCTGGCGGGGGGGGGGGCAGAATTAAGTTCAAGTTATTAACAGATTTGAAAGAGAGAGGGGGTTTCTCCCTGCCAGATTTAAGGATTTACTTTGAAGCAGCAGCCTTTTGCTGGTTGAAAGAATGGTTTTTGCTGGAAGATACAGACGTTTTAGATTTGGAAGGTTCTGATAATGTATTTGGAAGGCATGCATATTTATTGTATGGTAAAATAAAGGCTCACAGAGGATTTAAAAATCATATAATTAGAAAATCTTTATATAATGTTTGGATAAGATATAAGGATTTGTTAGAAAGAAAAACACCCAGGTGGATATCACCATTGGAAGCTAAGACCTATAAAAGGTTGACTATGAAAGCCAAGTGGTTGAAGTATAATGATATTTTGATGGAAGTAGGGGGACCAATTTAGATTAAAATCTTATGACCAGTTAAAGGATAAATTAGATGTTTGGTCCCAGTACATCCAGATAAATGAAGTGTTTAAAATGGATAAGAAAATTGGTTTTCAAACAGAGAAATCCAAACTGGAAATGAAATTATTAGATACAAAAATGAAAAACCTATCCAAGATGTATAATTTATTGCTGGAATGGCATACGAAAGATGAAGAAGTGAAATCTGTAATTACTGAATGGGCTAGGGATGTGAGGCACAATATTACGATGTTGGATTGGGAGAAATTGTGGAAAAAAGGAATTAAATTTACAGCATGTAATGTATTAAGAGAAAATTTGATGAAAATGATGTACAGATGGTACTTAACACCAGTGAAGTTAGCAAAAATGTATAATACTCATGATAATACATGCTGGAAATGTAAGGAAAAGAAGGAACCTTTTACCACATGTGGTGGACGTGCCCCAAGGTAAAAGACTTCTGGGAAAGGTTTTATAATGAACTGAAAAAAGTGTTGAAAAACACATTTATTAAGAAACCAGAAGCTTGGTATAGTGGGGCCTGAAATCCCCAAAAAGGATGTTACTTTTTTTCTGTATGCCACAACAGCTGCGAGAATATTACTAGTGAAGAATTGGAAGAAACAAGATTTACCAACTATCGAAGAATGGCAGATGAAGATGATGGACTATATGGAACTTGCCGAACTGACTGGGAGACTCCGAGACCTGAGAGAAGAGACGGTGGAAGAAGACTGGAAGAAGTTTAAAGAATATCTGAAAAAAATGTTAATATTTAAATCTTAGAATAGCTTTGGAAGTAGATATAGGCTGTAGGGTTAGAAGTAGAAGATAGTGTATTTTAAAATAGTATTATTTGTAAGTGATAAAATGTGAAGGCTTTTATGGTAAAAGTAAGCTTGATAAAAAAATGGTTAAAAATTATGATATATGTAAACTGCTAAAGATGAAGTAAAATGAAAATCAGATAGGGGGGACTTGGGGAACACCTAACAATGTTTAGAAAAAATAAGGATAAGACAAGAATTTGTTTGTATTGTGTTTTTTTCCTGTTTGTGTTGTTTAGTGGTGTTATAAAATGAATAAAAATTTTTTTGGGTGGGGGGGAAATACAATGATTTTCCAAAACAGATTTTTTAAAAAACTAAAATGTTAAATGCTATTACTGCCAGCAGAACAGCACCTAAACTATGACAAATAGTATTTATTTTATTTTAAATTGGTTAATTATTGTATTGATTAAGATAACTAATGAAACATTATTCCATCAGCAGACTTATTTTGATGAAGAAGGGAAATGTAAACTATTATCCTAGACATGGTGATTCAGAGGTAAGTCTGAGTATTGGTTTATGAGTTCAATGTAGATTATTCCGAGGTGAGTGTGGGATTGCAGACTCAAGTTTCAATGTTATAGGCTGCAATCCTATACCTGAGAGTAACCCCCTTTGCATTATTATGAAGCATGATATGTAGTTATGGCATTCATTATCCACTTACAGTAGAAGGAAAGTATCACTCCAAGGAAAAATCTTCCCAGAGCATCGCAAACTGAAAGTCTTGAGGAAGATTAACAGTGACATCTTGTGGCCACCACAATTTCACACACAGCTCTACATGCATACATACAGAGCTCAAATGTACCTGAATTGGTTAGGATATACGCTTCATTTGTCTTCTAACTTACCTCCTGCATGAATAACATTTGTATGTGATATATGCAATAACTGTCAGGAGACAGCTTTTTTCAGTAGGGGCACCACAGCTTTGGAATGACTTCCCTAAGGAAGCACACCTGACATCTACTTTGCAAGCTTTTAGGCTGAGGGTGAGTAGAAGGTAGGTTGAAATCTACTGGTAGTTTTCTCTGGCAGTTTGCACTAGATCTGCAAGGGTTTCCAGTTCCCAAAGGTTCAGCTGCAGCAGCAACCACAGATTGCTGTTTTCTACCTATATTTGGCTCCTGAAAGAAAGAAAGCTAAGCAGACATGGACTTCTGGGCAAGAGAATGATGTTTAGTTCAGTTCTCATCCTGGAAAACAAATTCCTAGGCTCAGAACATGCTCAGAGGTTTGTTTGTTTTAATTCTAACTTTTGCTTGGACCACAGTTTTCAAACCCATTACTTGCAGTGATACAATACCTTAATCAGAGCACCTGGACAAATCCTGCCACTAGAAATCCAGCCTCATGCTGCCACACATGTGCTAGTTAAGCCTTCACCAAAAGTGGATGTCCCAGAGGTATTAACACTTTATAGTCCTCTGGCCAGAAGATAAACTACCTGAAATTGATTGAAGTGACTTTACTGTAGGAAGTGCTAATGACCAACTAAGCTTCCCCACCGTGTCATGTAAGCTGTATGTTTTACCTGATGTAAAGCAGCATTTGCTCTGTCCCTTCAAATGGTGACTCTTTATTCTCATAAGCTTGCAAATTGCACACACAGTAGTTGCTGCAATTAAAGGCTACCATCTTTCTCTACTTTGTGCTTCTCTTCTATTACCCAAAATGCACCTGACAGCAGATGATCGCTTGAGAATATCTTTGGGACCAAGACCAACTACTATACATTAGTGCAATATTCACCAAACCATAAACCACTTTTGAAAGCCTTATCAAACCCTCTTTAAAAACCCAGGATTTCCTTAAACTACAGCTGTAATCCTATACTCACTTACCTCAGAGTAAGCCACACAGAACTCTACAGGACTTACTTATGCATAGACAAAAGATTGCCATGTACACATTCCTTTTCTAGCTGTTCTTACATGTGACCGAAGTATTTTCTGAATATTCATCCACTGATCTGAATATAATTATCTACTTGCTCTGAAACAAGGTTGTTCCTACAATAAACCCATCAACTATGAGCTGGAGTTCTATGATGCACCTCCACATGAACAGAAACTCCCCCATTCTTTTCTGTGTCAGGACAAGCACCATGCGCAATGCACACAGAGAGCTTTCCCCAATGTTACAGTGAAACGGGCATCATTTGGAATATTCTGTAAGTTTCAGAACTCGCATGTGAACACCAGAGCTACTGGACTGGGGCAACTGCCCCCCGCCCCCCGCCCCCGCTCTTCCCTCACTGTTGCCATATCAAGCCAATTTCTACATACTGAAGAATGTTATCAGTTAACTGAAATTCAGAGCAAGAGATAAGATACAAGTTGTGCCAACATTTCTTAATGACATGCCTCTCAGAAACCTGAAAGAGGCATAAGCTGTGGTGCTTTTGTCTCAAAAGCCTATTTTCTCATCACCTGAAATTATATATTTTAAATCTCCAGCCTCATTTTAAAAAAGATCTGGTCCTCACAGACGCAAGCAAACACTTGACGTTTAAATCAATTACTGCAGGGGACCATTTAGCATTTGGTGGGGGAGAAATAATTACAAATAAATTCCAAAAGTAAAGAAAATGAACACCAGATTCTTCAAGGGTTGATTCAAGTCACTTTGTGGAGAAACAGGATGCAAGAACACCAAAATATTTGAAAATGTGAACTGTCAAGTAAAAGTAAACAGATACTCTTATCTGTGTACTTCCTCTGTGTGTTGACAAGGCCCCTTGATTTGTTCAGAGATTAACTTCCCACCAGGTAGTGATCACCCATAGAATTGTACTGCTTGAGTTGCTTTGTGCCTGAGGCAAGGCATATCTTTAAACATCTCCATTTAACAAACTCATATTCAATTCACTAATCATTTCTATGTTATGATTTTGATCACATGCCTTGAGACGTTTTCTTAAGTAAAAAAAAAAAAAAGGAATCTTGAGCAACAACATTTTTCCTGTCTCCTATCCACAGTCCCCTCACACCTCACCCTACACAGAAAAAGATCCCAAACTTGATTTCTGCATTTATGCAATAAACACCAATTGTGTCTTTATCTCAGGCCACAAGTGTGTTTTCCTCCCTCTGTGGGTATTTCACACTTACATCGGCTCACAAGTCTCAGGATGCACACATCTGGTTTGGACAAAGCCTACTGCACCGCTGGTTGTGGATTTCCCTATAAACCACTGGAGGCCTGGAATGAGAAAGCCAGTGACCTCTATGGTGTCCCCTTTGCAGAAGCTCAGCTCGTCCCATCCTTTCCCTCTGTGATCTTCTGTAGTTGTGCACCTCCCTTGGCCTAAGAAATAAAACAAAAATGTCCCTCATTCCAGCAGGCTGAACCATTGAACCATTCTCTCTTTGAAACAGTGACCAGTGGCAGAGAAGGGCATGCTTATGAGTTGAGTGTGGAAACAAGGTCCCTTTGTGTCCCATAAACATTTGTGTTTTGTCCTGTCACCTGAAACCACAGCTTATTCTTCTTAATACAGCTTAATACAGCCCCCCTTCAAATGAAGACAGAAGAAAGAAGGAAGCTTGGGTAAAATGTTTGCCTATTTCAGCTTTCAGCATGAAAACATTTGGAGTGAAGGTAGGGGATAATCACTACTATTGCGAATGTTCACACTTTTTGTGTCAATTTGCCATCACCTTCCCCTCATCTGTTGCTTTGGCAGTACCCCAACCCGTTAGGTGCTTCCTTTTTCATAGTGTGGTTTCAGTCAATTAGGTACATCACATAGTAAATGTAATGATGTCATGACACTATTCTAGGCAATTAGATTTGATGTCACTGAGGGCAAATGAAGCTAATTTAGCTGATGTTTCCGCTTCTAATTTAAACAAATGATTAAAAAATGCAAACTATATCCTGTGCAAATCTAAGACATTCTAAAAAACCCTGCAATCCCACCCCCACTTCAAATAAAGAGAGAAGTACACAATGGATCAGTCTTAAGTCAGTTATCTACAATTTACCCCCAATAAGATTGTCCTCACCAATCTGCAAAGAGCCAGGTCCGCTGATCTGTTTGGAGATACCACAGCTCATTGGATAGTTCTTCAGGAACCACCTGTGGATGTGAAGAGCTGTGAATGAACACTCTATTTCTTTCAGAGTACAGTCGTACCTTGGATCCCAAATGCCTTGGTATTTGGACATTTTGGCTCCTGAATGCCGCAAACTCAGAAGTGAGTGTTCCGGTTTGGGAACATTCTTTGGATCCCAAACGTCCAATGGGGATTCCACGGCTTCTGGTTGGCTGCAGGAGCTTCCTGCAGTCAATCAGAAGCCATGCTTTGGTTTCCGAACATTTTGGAAGTCGAATGGACTTCCGGAACGGATTCCGTTCGACTTCGAAGGTATGACTGTACTCTTTGCTTCACATTTGGGGGTGGGGAATGGTGCACACTAAGCTTTCATAACATAATTGCCAATAAAAGTGATCTCAGGATGTATTTACAGAGGGCAGGTATATTAATAGCAGCCCGTTTTACCCTCAGAGATAAGAATGTTTTCATTCTGAGCGTTTTACTCTGAGTGAACCCAGGTTACGGCCACAATGACTCACAATGTCGGCCCTGTGTATAGACTGCCACAGCCGCGCTACTTACTGGTAAAAAGGATGGGACAATGGTTCCATGGCTGTGACAGGGACCAGGCCCCTCTGGTCATTCAACAGAGATGTCCCTTCCCATTTGGTGTCATGCCCAATGTCTTTCACATGGACAAGCTCATTTTTGGAGAGCTTCAAATCCTCCCCTTCTTCATCTGTCAGGACACCAACCACGACCCTGGCAAAGAAGTTTCCTGCAGATGAAAGAAGAATTGATAATGGTCAGGATTATTGTCCTATAAACAGCTTGGAAGCCCTGCTCAATGTGTTACTACCTTCAAACTTCAGTGTAGAAACCACAGCAAGCCAGGCTTTTTCTGTCATGGTGTCACAATTGTGGAATTCCCTCCCCAGAGACCTTGTTTGGTCCAATCTCTCTATTCCCTTGCATAAAACCGTGAGGACTTTTCTCTTTAGGAAGACCAAGTTTAAAGCTATTTCAAATTGCAGTGCTTTATGGGCATTGGCTACATAGCTGCATTTGTGTTTTACTGGTTTTGTTTTTGTTGTACTGATTTGTAACTTGCCTTGGGTCTTACCCACCTTCGAGAAAGGTGAGTAACAAAAATAACAAGCATGATACCAGTGAAAATTCTGTGGGAAAATTCCTCTCCTGCAATGACCACTTATGAGGGCAAGAGGTTGCCCAGCAGGTCAGAACCATGTCTTATTCTGAAATCTCGCTGAAGCAACCATTTGGAGGCTGGGTTGTGGGCTCTGAGGAAGAGAATTGTTCAGTGCATTATCTCAGGATCCAGTTGCTCCCTGACCTCATGTTTGCTTCAAAAATAATTTTGTGCAGAACGATTTTGGGCTCCTCATGTTGACTATATGAAGTGATTTGCTCACAGTGAACTTCCTTTCTGGTAGTCTTTGGTCAGGGTTGGTGCCCCTGTTATATATGGAAAAGCCTGTCACCATCTTCGTGTTGTTTTTGGAGATAGGTAAAGCCTTCCTGGTCACTCAAACATTTCAAATAATTTAGATAATCTCAGTCTTTCTTAGTTTGTATATCTGTGTTTTAATTGGGGAGTAGGCAATTTTTGGGTAGCTTTTTAAATTTTACTTTTTCTGTAATGTTATGGTTTTATATATTATCTCATATATTATTTACTGTCAGCCACCCAGAGAACTTTACATTATAGGATCTAGGTAAATAGTACATGTCTATTGTACACTTTTGCTGGGGACTATTCCCCTCACCAGAACCAGATTTTGGGGTTTGAGGCAGGTAGGACCCCTTTCCAAAATCTACCTACTGCACACCTGAATGGTCCCACTCTGGCCTTCTCTCTCCTGCCAATAGGAGTCCAGAGCAACCCACTTAAGGGTCCACCTTATGGACATGCAGTATTACGGATCCAAATCATACTCCTAAAGGGATATTTGGAGAGGAGCTGTAAGACTGGCTTCATATTTCTCACCTTCCTGAAGCAGAAGACCTAAGTACATGGTGGCCATGTGATCCTCGTCTAGAGCAACAGTTATCTCGGTGTCCTCCACCAGAGCACAGTTCAGCCAGTACTCAGGGGTGAAGAGAAGATGCTCCAAACAGCTGCCCACATAGCCTGATCCACAATAAAAAAGGAAGAATGCAAACATATCATGTGGCTTCCAAGAGCAAACATACAGCAGTGGTTTTCTCAGGTAAAACATTTGACACAGAATGTCGGTCATTCTTCAGGCCCATGCCACACAGCCTCAGGGCCAAACTGAAAACATTCTATTTATTTCTCAAACTTACACAAGCCGTCTCTCAGCAGGAAGTTTCAGAAGTAGTTAAAAATCAAATAAGCCAATAATAACAATAAAACCACAAAACAAAAACTTTAAAGCACAATAAGCTTTTTTTTAAAAAAAATTCTATAACGTAGGAGAAGGGAATGTTTTTCTGTCAAGGGCCACACTCCATTAGGGATAATTTGTCAAAGGCTGCCTGCTGGGGTGGGGAGGGCCAAACCCAGTAGTGTCTGGGGCCACGGGCAAATGAAGTGTGTGCATCCTTTTCTCACTGCCACCCCCTTCTCTCTTGTTTGATAACCAATCAATTAACTAATCAACAAATTAATTTCAGTTTCCTATGCTTACAACACCATAATTTTGACCCATGAGCCCTTGTCTGATCCTCCCTTCCAGCTCTTCGCTATGCATGGATCTTTTACAAGCTTTTTAGGGTTGAAACTGCCTCTTATATATGGAGATGAAGCCACTTCAGCCTTGTTTCTTTCTCTCTTCCTTGTAGAGTCTCATTTGACACCATGAGCCATGGTATCATCAGAATGGATTTCATTCCACCCCAGCCTTGCCTTGTTGGAGAGGGGGAGCAGTGTGTGAAACTGGACCTTTTTCAATATAAATACTGAAAAGAGACACAAAGGCAGAAGCTCTCTTTCTCTCATATCTTAAGAGTCTAGTCCTGCCCACAGCAACTTATATAATGATCCCCACATCCCACTCTCACAAGCTCTCCTGGTGGAAAGCCAGTCTCCCCTCAATTCCATGTGATCTACCAAGCGCTAAGTATGTTGAAAACTTCCAGATTTCTTCTATGGTCCTGAAGGAGAGTAGAAAGCGACTGTCCTGTGCCTGGATACAAACCAGCCGGGCTGACAGCTCCTGCAAAAAAGGAAAGCAGGAAAGACCATGGGAATTATGTTGTGAATGAACATGTGCTATATTCTGTGTTTCTTCTTCTTCTTCTTCTTCTTCTTCTTCTTCTTCTTCTTCTTCTTCTTCTTCTTCTTCCTCCTCCAACAATGGCATTTGAAATTTGGATTGTAGACCAAGGGTCATGACTACAGAAAGACAATACAACCCTGCCCTACATAAAGGGAGATCAACTACTGACATGAGTCAACAGTGTGATGCAGCAGTAAAAAAAAAAGTTGATGCTATTCTAGGCTGTATCAGCAGAAGTATAGTGTCACCTGGAATACTGTGTCCAGTTCTGGGCACCACAATTTAAGAAGGATCTTGACAAGCTGGAACATGTACAGAGGAGGGCAACCAAGATGATCAAGGGTCTGGAAACCAAGCCTATGAGGAACGGTTCAGGGAGTTGGGCATGTTTAGCCTGGAGAAGAGGTGACTGAGAGGAGATATGTTCACCAACTTCAAATATATCAAGGGCTGTCACATGTAAGATAGAGCAAGCTTGTTTTCTCCTGCTCTGGAGGATAGGACTCAAACCAATGGCTTCAAGTTACAAGAAAGGAGATTCCAACTAAATGTCACAAATAACTTTGTGACAGTAAGAACTCTCCTTCCTTGAAGGTTTTAAAGCAGAGATTGGGTGTTTACTGCCCTGAACTCTTTTGAATAAAGATGGTATTGCAAATAATGTGCAGGGGAATTTAAAAATGGTAGGGAATTTAAATAATGGTGGGGATTTTTAATTTTTTTTAAAAAAGCTTTCTGAGTTTTAAATAACTTTTCATTCAATTTTAATAATTTGACAATGTGTGGCATTTATATAATCTCAATTTGGAAAATAAACAGCAAAACGAAACATTTCTGATTGAGATATTGTATTATTATAGTTATCAACAAGAACAACAACAATAAGAAACCAAAAAAGGAGGAATAAAAAAGAAAAGAAATAAGCATTAAAAAATCCATGAATGAATGATAAAAAACATACAACATTTCTTGGGTACATTTGTCAACATTATTTGAGTGGCAAGTTTTGTAGTTATAAAAAACTTGAAGTGTCCAGTCACTTTGGAGCAGGGATAGTTACACAGATGTGAATACGAAAATAATTATGAATATTGATTGATTGATCTTTATTACGGCCATTGGCCCGTTACAAATTATGAATATGATTATGAGTGTGATCGAAGGGATAAAGGGAATCTGTGGGCTCCAAACCTTTTCCTTTTATAGGATCATTCTAACCATGTTGAGCTATATGTTGTCGAGGCGGGGAACTGATTGTTCTTTTTGCAACTACAGATCCAAGAGCTTTGTTGACAGCCGTGATGCCAACACTCAATGCCATCACATTGTCACCTAGTTACAGTGACAGGCGTGGCAGGAATAATAAAAGCTGGCAATTCACCTCTGACTGCTTTATGCAGGCATAAACAAAAGCATAGCTCCGTACTAGAGCAGATGTTTTGCACACAGAAGATTCTAGGTGAAAATCCTTGGCATTTTCAATTTAAAAGATCTCAAACACCAGACATGGGAAGGACCCTTCGGTTTGAGATCATGGGAGAGCTGCTGACAGAGTAGACAGTACTGAGCAAGATGGCACAATGGCCTGACTTGGCATAGGACAGATTCCTACTTTGCTACCCATGAGGTGCTTAAGAAGTAACAGCAACAACTTTACCTTGAAAAGAGCACAGACATCTTTGTCGTCATTTTCTAAGGCCCACAGCTTCTTTCTGGCTGTCTCCTGCAGCTGGGGATTGGGGCCCTGTCCCGAGCGACTCTTGACAGAAAATGAGAGGGCAATCTCTTTAAAATTAAAAAGAGAGAGAAAGAGAGATAGGCAATTAAAGAAGTTAAAATACTAAATACCTTTGTCCAGCATTCTGCATGGATCAGCTCTACTTTTGCCTAACTGTGAGCATTAGTGAGCATCAAGGGGGATTGAATGCTTCTATCATTCATCTATAGATATGTAATCAAAATTCCCATCACACCTTATTAGATTCCACAGATTAGACTGGTGAGTTTACAGCTTTTGGAGACAAGCTCCCCATCTCAAATAGCAGGGGGAAAACAGGAGATTATCAGCACTGGAACAGCCAGTGTGGCTTCAGGATAGGTCAGGAGAGGTGCTCTGGCAGGGCTTACATTGCACTGTTCCTCCCAATCTTTCACTGGAACTCACTGGAACTAAAGCATTCAGTTTAATTCACTTGTGGAAGATGCTGTTTCTTGAAATGCTTCCTGGGTTCTAGGACAGGCAAGTCAACTCACAGCAACAACATGCTTGCCAGGTCCAGTCTAGCATATTCTGAATGGCAGAGGGTCTCCTTGGCTATGTTCCCCAAAGCAGAATGTAAGAGAATCACTATCCCTCTTGTTGAGACCAGCCAGACTTCTTTGTTACTCCATCTTACTACAAAAACCGCCACCAGTTAAAGTGCCAGCTACTGAAGTAAGCGGTTTTACCCTCACTGAAGTCCTGAATTCCAAGAGTGCCTGGCAGCTTCTGGCTCACCTTCCCCATTCATAAATACCCCACATCAGGATCCATGCAGCATTTTCAATGAAGATTCATTTAGATGTTGTTGCAAAAAAATAATTTACACCCAATTCATAATAAGTTATCACATGGGAATTAGTGGTTATCTGAGGATATTTCTGAGAGTGTTGTTTTTGTTATAATTAAGTGAAATGTGTCCCTTCAAACCTAACTGGAAAGATGTTGGGTGGTACAGGTCAGACAATGGCCCATCACTTTCCCATTCATACTGTCTTCTGCATTGACACCTGGAATTACAGACACTGGCCTGCTATAAACTCTGTTCCCTTTCCTTCTTAATCTTCTGCATCGCTAATAAGTCATGCAATGCAAACTACGTCATTATCTCCTCCAGAGAAATGATCTCAAGGGCTGGCTCGTTAGTTACAGATGTTAAAAACAAAAGGCAGCAATTAGACAAACACTTACCATTTGGGAACCCTTCCCCTACAGCCAGTGACACGGACTCAGTTTCCAGAGTGCCCTCTCCTATTTGTGCAGACTGACTTCCTGGATCCAGTTCCCTGGGGTTACCTGACAAGTCACCATGTAGGCAGAAGGACCACTGTCAACTTTTTAGGAAGAGGGAAAGCAAGGGCATAATACAGGAGGCCACCAACCTTTCTGGGCTTGTGGGCATATTTGGAATGTTGAAAGAGTGTTGTGGGTACCTTCCCCTGCGGCTGCTTCTCTCCCCGGGGTCACGTCACCACCCACCATGACAGAAGGACAGGCAGACAGACAGACAGGAAACAAGCTCAAGTGCACACACACACACACTTTATTTTTCTAGGAGAGCAGGATAAAAGTCAGATCCAGTAGAATCAAAATATATCACACTGAATCTGCATTATATTACATGAGATAACTAAAAAGACACATCAAATTAAAGTACTCCATATCACTGTACATGATAAAAATAAATAAATCATACATCTGTTGCTTGCCATTGACCCAAGGCAAGGATTCCTACTGAGTTTCATGACTTTAGCATAGAATGACAACAAAACCACCAACAAACTGCAGAAAACATCTGTGTGCCCAGAAGTAAATTATTAGTCAACGGTGGTTTTGAAGGGATACTTGTGCCTCAGATCCATGATTTTGTACCACGGCAGAACAAGACAGCACCAGATTCTTACACTTCAGTCAATGGAAGCAGATGTGATCTGTGATTTGATGAGGAGGGGGAAGACTGTGGAAAAAATGTGCAATTCCAATAGGAAAGTGTATAACCTCCCCCCCCCCATCTGACCCCTTTCTCCTATGTAGCCATTCCATTTTCTTCCTCCACCTCCCAGATCTCTCTCCCTTCCCTCCTACCCTCTCAGTTCCTCTGCTTTCTGATCAGGAGCCGATTTGAGTCATGAAAAGTGATGCCTTCCTTTTTACTCTCCCAACTTCCTCCTTCAGTGTACTTTTCAAGTAACCACTGTCACCACCTCATGACAAGAGGGGCGTCTTGTTGGGCAGGAAGGGAAGTCCTCAAGTGCACCGTTGGGCTCATGTGACCACAGCTGGTAAACTACAGGCATCATGAAAGGGGATATAGCAATATATAATACCCCTCGACCCCAGGGACTTCAATATGAGTGGCAGCAGTTTTTCTGCAGTCCCAAACAGAAGTCTTCCCAAACCTTGCTACTTAAGACCTTTCCAGCTGAAGGGAGGACTTAAATTTCACACAACCCAAACATTTCCTGTCCTCTGCTAGTGACTTCTCCAAATGGGAAATCTCTCACCAAAGGACCACCATCGTTTCCTTTTGTTCCTGGCACTGACTCAAACAGGAGCAGCCCATGTGGTAGGGAAGAGCCACAGAGCCACCCTCAAAACAGCATCGCTATGGCCACTTACCTGAACAGGGTGGTGTCAAGGCTGGGACTGCAAGATTGGTGGCAGTAGTCCTGCCAGTGCACCCTTGTGGTCCTGACCTCCCCCTAAAGTGCTTTTCACAGAGGTAACAGTGGCACAGTCTCCTCACCTCTACCCTACTGGACTCAGAGGCTCCAGCTCTGACTTACATTTCTTTTCTGCTCATGAATTTGAAAGTCATAGATCTGGTACATCTAGTTAGATGTAAGAAAGAAAGTACTACTATTGATGGGCCAGGCTATCTGGTCTGAGTGGGGAAGAAACAATTCCCACAGAATATTTTAAAAAACAGAATATATTGGTGATTGCTTAGCAGGGGCTAGCATGCTGCACCCTTAGACTGGGCTGTTGTAATGCTCTGGGGGATAAACAATGTGTTATTTTAACTGGCTTTAAAACACACACGCACGCACGCACGCGCACACACACACACACACACACACACAACAGACACACAAAGAATGGCCACCCTGAATGCTCTGGAGATGGAGTGGGTGGAGGGCTATGAATTATTGCAATTAAGAAAGAACTTGGACCTGTTAAAAGGAAAGTTAAAAACTTGTTAAGAGGCCACACATGTAACCCACAATGCCTTTGAAAGCTGCCTCCAGAGTTCCTCCCTGCCTGTGTGTTGGAGAATGAGTGGACTTTTTTTCGTTACCACTAATGGAGCACTGATGGCTTCTCTATCTGCAACTGTGAGGCTTCCGAGGGCAGATTTCCTTCTCTGCCTGAGGAGTTCCACTCTGTCCTATTATCCCTGGGATGTCCTTCCATTGAGTACAGTATAGGACTGCAACCATAAATTATTATTTTTAACATGTATATATGTATGTACTGCCTGTTCCACAAAGTCCATTAAATATCTTTTGAGACCATTAAAAAAAAACCCTGATTCATAGAATTGTACAGTTGAAAGGGAGTACAAGGCTCATCTAGTCCAACCCCCTGAAAGGCAGGAATCTTTTTCCCAATGTGGGGTTTGAACCCACAACCCTGAGATTAAGAGTCTCATGCTCAAGGTCATGGGTTCGAACACCAACCCGGCGCTGGCTGGAGTTGATTGGAGTTGTGGTCCAAAGGCACCAGGTTGACAGAGGCTGGTTTAGGCAATCTTTCGGAAGCTGCATAGGCTATGAGCACAAAAGATGGCCCCGTGTTGAGCTACTAAGAGAGAGTATTGATGTTTGCTGCTGATATTTTTATTTATTTTATTGGCTGCTTGCTTGTTTTCGTTTCGTCTTTCACGACAGGGTCCTTGTAAGGCACCTTGAGCAAAGAACAGAGGTGGGGATTGAAATGTTTTCAATAAATGAAAAAATAGACCAGATTTGGAAGAATAAGCCTGATGCCAATGCAAGAGCGAGAGAATGATTCCTGCGATCTTTGCTTATAACTATAAGCACCACAGAAATGTTTCTATAACAGCAGATCACTATCTCAGTAGCCTCCCTGAGCTCTATGGATTCCTGTTCTTGCTTTGAGCAGCAACTGGGATTTTGTGGAAACCAAGCCTGTGGGGGAAAGGGCCGCGTAGTTACTCCTTGGAGGAAGAGAGTGGATTTGCATAAGTGTTTGCTCATCAATTTTCTGGGGGAAATGGAGATTTCCCATAACTGCTGCAATCTGAAAAATCTAGCCAGGCTCATTCAACTCCACACATCATTACACATAGTCATAAAACTCTTAGAATCAGGAAATTTAGGCAGCAATTAAGTTAATGATGCTGGAGGCTCATGTGTTGTTGTTTTTTTAAAAGAACCAAAGCCAGCAAGCTCTTCCCAAGCTGTGCAAGCCTAATAGGAGTTTAAAACCTGGGTCTTGTCAGTGGTTAGACAGGACTTGATCTGTGTGCCAGGAAATATGGGCTGCAAACAATGGACTGTTTTTATAAGTAGGCTCACTAAACAGTCCCGCTCCATTGTCAGCTTTGCTAGTCTCTAAAACAAACTGTGAATTGATTTTATGTGGAACTGTAAACCATATTATAGCTACAAACAGGGGAAATATAGCACTGTAGATGCTCATTTAGCAGGCTTTTTGCTTTGCTTTGGAGAGTTTCAGAGCAGAGCCATCATGTCTGCTTTTGACAGCTGGGTAATAACAGCATGGGAGATTTGCCCAAGCACCTGAAATGGCCCAATGGCAGAGCGTGCAACCGGTAAATTATTATAGCTAGCAAGCTCCATCCTACCAGTGCCAGTTCAGTTACTTAACCTGCCATCCCCATGCCACCGTCTAGAAAAAGGCCTGGATGGATCAAAGATAAAATGACAAGCCACATTGAACTGCCTAGGAGCTAAAAGCTACTTGAGATTAGGGATGAAAGGATCGGTCTTTTTCCATTCCATGTCAATATGCACATTTGTTCAATCATAAGTTGATAATCTGTGATTTAATAATAATAATAATTCATATTTAAACCCAGCTTTTCTGAAAGAACTGGATTGGCTCCTATGAAACTGTAAATGGCAAGTGCAGAAGGGCCTTATACAGGAAGTATGAATTAGGTCCCTTCGCTTAAAAAGGCAGAATGGATGAAATACTGCTCTGTGTCTACAACAGAGTTCATGTGAGGAGTGTAAACCACACCTGTCAGGGTTTCACCAACATAACACCAGCATTTCCCACAACAAACCAGGCTTTGCTGCTGTAGGCAGGAGAATACATACTGGAAAGCTGTGGCAAATCAGGACTCCCAGAACACACCCACAGATATTTAAGGATGTGGATCTGCCTTTGACACTTGATGTGCTTACTCTGGAAAATGCTAGGGTAAAGCTGGTATAGCCAGAGTGAAACAAATTTTCCATGTAAACTATGAAATGGCTCTAAAATGCAATTTAACACAGGGCCATAGCATTTCTCATCATTCTAACACACAACAGGCACCAATAAACACAGGCCAGAGTTACATACATAGCCATGAAACAGAACACATCTAGTGTTAGTATATATGTCCCCAAGTGTCTTAGCCATTCTCAAAACATAACCAAGCCACCTCTGAGCTAGTCCTTCAGAATCATTTTACAGTATGGGGCAGTCCAGGCTTCACTGCAATACAGAAGTACACACACACACACACACACACACACACACACACTTCTGGAAGGAAGAACAAAGTGTTGTTGTTGTTGTTTCAACAGTACCTGATGCCATCTTCCCCTCTTTGAACCATCTTTCTGGGGGTTCAGCTGTGTACTGCTGCAGACTGGACCAACTGGCCAGGCACACAGGTTGATCGGATGAACAAGAGGATGCCTCTTCACCTGGAGAACACATGCAGCCAGAGATGAGATGAGACGCAGGATAAAGAGATATTGCTGATTGCAGAGCTCCCCAAGAGTCTTACTCCCATGCACCCGAGATGACGACAGCAAATAAATTAACCCTTGCCATCACAATGGATAGGACCTTTCCTCTCCCTTTCTCATGCAACATTTGCAACAGGGCTGGCTGAAGCCATTTCTCTTAACCACAATTTCTTAGCTCTTTATTTTAGTCCCAACAGTCTTTTAAAGGAGGAACTTCTGCTTAGACAGATGAACCGAAACTACTTTCACAGTCAGTATCAACAATCAGGAGTCAGTCACACTGCAATCAAAACTAGATTTTGTGACAGCTTCTTGTGAGAATCCCAGAGCATTGTGGTCTCCGTTCATTGCTTGGGTATACTACCAATTAAAACTGGCAGTGACTGTGGAGGAAAGATGGAGGGAGATTCTACTGCTTCAGACTGAAATCATCAGCCTTAGGGCAGGTTCACACAATCCTGTGCTACTCTGGTACTTTACACTTGATAACCCTTGTGCTTGATGATTTGCAGCTGGTTGTATGAGTGGACTCTACCGTAAAAAGTATATTTTTGAGGTGACACAGAAGTTCCATCCAGTGGGCGCTGGTTCATTACAGCAAATGGGTCACTGTGCCCCACCAGCCTCAGTCCGCCTTCAGTCAGCTGCCTGCCTGCCTTCTTCCTTACATCCAAGGCTAGGGGTTGGTTCTATGCACATGTGCCATAGATACCTGCCACATGACCCCAGGCATCTGCTGCTCAATTGAGTGGCATCAGAAAAAGCCAAACCTCATGAGCTTGCTTGCTTCTGTTGTACTTATTTGTATGGTTTCAATTGAGATAATAGATAGTTTTACTTCTAATTGTTTTTAATGGCTTTCCCCCTATGTTTTCAGCAGTTCTCATTTTTATATCTCAGCTGTCTTGAGTTCCATCAAGGCAGAAGGTGGGGTATAAATGAAATAATAATAATAATAATAATAATAATAATAATAATAATATAACGGCAGGGTCAGAAGTGGCTCCAAGTACTGTAGTCACTGAGTGATGAATGCGAACGTGTGAACCAGTCTTAATTTGAACCATAATCTAATCTAAACCTTTCCCTGTTGCTTAAGGGGAAACAGAAGACAGAATTGTACCTGCAACTGAATTCCATTCAAAATCACAAATTAAAATAATTAACTCACACACCATGCTCCATCCAAAACAGAAAACATTATATAAGGATAAAAAATAATAATGGTGGGGCATATCCAGTGCTGTTCTACCAGTGCAGCAGATTTCTGCTTAAGCAGCAGCATTTTCCCATCCTCTCCCTTTCAGCCCTGAAGGCACCCTCAAAACCTGTTCCAGGGGATTGGAGGAAGCCTCCCCCCCCAAAGATCAGATTTTGAAGACACAGAGGGAGAGCAGGGGCAAGTCCAGTTGCACAAGTGGAACTCTGCACACACGGTGTTGGATACAAGCCAGTATCTTTATTGTTCTCCAATCAGGACGGTTAATTATCTGACTCACATATTCAGCTTTTATTAAAGCAAGGCCAAAAATCACTGCCCAAGGATTTCTCAGTATATCACCGTGAACCTCCCTTATTCAAGAGGAGGATGGAAATGAGTTTCCCCACATCAAGACAGAACCATGACAGCCTAGATTAACAGCCATGAAAACAAGAAAATCTGTGTTGGGAATGATGTAGAAGAGGAAAATAAAATGGCACATATCATAATTGTCATTCTATAAACCTACAAGGTAACTGCAAATGGAATACTATGTGTGGTTTTGTTCATCCCATATAAAAAAAGGATATTGCAGAGGAGAGCTGTAGAAAAGATGCAGCCAATGGTTAATGAAAACAACCAGAAGAACATCATCTTCATAGAGAAAAGATCAGGAAGTTGGCATTTTTTCATTTGGAAAAAATGCGGGCTAAAGCAAGGGAGGAGCATATTAAGAGGTTTACAAAAGTGTGCCTGGTGTAGAGAGAGAGACAGGGAAACCCAAAAATATCTCTCATGCATCATCCTCGGCCACCATTTCTTCTCACAATTCAACAAAACTAGATTCTTCTGCTTGTGAGTTGTTGGCCATAAAAGGAATTAAATCAGATAGAGAGATAAATGATAGATGATAGATAGATAGATAGATAGATAGATAGATATTAGAATGCAGTAGCATCTGCAAACTAGATTATGATCTGTTGATGGCTGGAAGTAGGAAAGACGGAATTGGAGCATGCAACATCTTTTCCATGAGGGAAGCTGTAAGATTCCAGTACTGCAGACATAAACTGAATTAACAACACAATTCTAATCATGCCTGCTCAAAAGTAAATCCTCTTGAACTCACTGAGGGTTTACTCCCAGGTAATTTTGATTAGGCTTGCAGCCTAGATACACCATCCTGTTTATAGGGTGCTTCTACCCCCTCAACCACAGGTGATCATGCCAAGAGCAAAGCAGCAGGCTGCTAGGTTGACAGACCCTGTTCGATTCTGCTGTGCTGATTGACGGCTCCTGCAGAGTTATACCACAGAAGGCTAAAGGGCAAATACAGAAGGAGGATGTGAGCAACTCACCTGTGGACCACAGTGAAAATTTCCTCTGGAAAGGGGCACCAAAGCAGCAGCCCATGTGTCCACCAGCCCATGCAGCCCCAAGGCCAGCAGTTTATCCTTCCTAGCAGACCCGGGACAAGACCAATGCAATCCACCACATCAAAAGTACTCTTGTTAGTCATTGGGGAAACAGCCTCTCAATGCACAATGCATCTTTTGATGGCCGCCCTGCATTTGGAAGGTGGGAGGTGTGGCTGGGCATTTGTCCCAAGAGGCAGCACCGAGCCAGCCTCAGCTCTCCCCTGCTCCACTAGTTTGTCGCCCCTCCATGCTGCTTCAGATTGTATCTCAAATGCCAGGCAGTACATTCCTGGCATTCTGAGCTTTGGTGGGTGGTGAAGAAAAATCCAGATGTCTCTTGAAAGGCTGGTTTGGGTCCTCCTTAAAGACAGGCATGAAAAGCCCACACATCTGCATGGCATAATTTGTGAGTTATGCAAATGAGGTGCACTACTTATGCAAATCAAATCCTCTGCAAATCTTAACTGATATAATTTTCAGGAGGTGATCTGCTCCTGCTGTATAAATGAAAACAGCAGGCCAAGAGCTGCAACAGAAACCGATCATCCTAAACCTTTTCACTGTCAGAGTTTCTCTCATTAGTGCTCCTACAACCTGCGCTCCATTTTCTCTTCTCTTGCAACCAAAGTACATAATCCAAGCTATTGTTCCCCATGACACTGTATCACAAAACTGCTCATTTCAATCAATAGGAGAATGAGAATTTTACATTGAAAAGATTGGGTAGAATTCAAAATGTTGAACTCAGACCAGACCTGTTGAAATCAATCAACCTAACTTAACTGTGTTCATTAATTTCAATGGCTCTGCTCCAAGTAAAACTTTTATCATTGCTATCATTTATACCCCGCTTTTGTATGTATCATATACCCAAAGCAGCATATAATAAAAGCAATATAAAACAGCATAGCTCATGCAGCATAAATGAAGTGATGGAAAGAGGTGGATAGAAACCAGTCTCAAAAGGGCACTTTTACTGAAAAGCTTTCTGGAATAACAAGAGTGGCAGGGACGAGTGTGTCCCTGTTTGGAGGCTCCTCCTTAATTTGGCTTCTACAATAAGAAAGACTCCATCCTTCATGAGCACCCATCATATATCCAGCTACAAGAGCCTCTCTTGGAGAGCTCTTGTGTACACTTAGATGAAATGGGACAGTTGACAAATCTCAGTCCCTGCCCACTTGGAACTCAATGCAGGTGGTAGATGATGGGTGAAAAAGGTCCATTCTCTTGGCTCCAGGTAACACCCTAGCAGCTGCATTCTGGGGAAACCAAAGCTACCTGACTGTCTTCAAGGTCAGCCACACATAAAGTGCATGACACACTAGCCCAACTTGGTGGAGATGAGGACATGAATCACAGGAGACAGATGTGACTTATCCAAGAATGGGTGCAGTTGGCATAATAGGTAAATTGGTCAAAGTCACCACTGTCTACCCATGCCTGGACAGCTGGGAGTGGTGGCTCCTGCAGCATCCCCATGTGGCAGATCTGTGGATTCAAGGGGACTGCAACCCCATCCAGAACAAGCTGCACACCTCCACCTGAATGGTCAGGTCCTCCTCTTGGGAGCGGGTGGTGCTGTGGTCTAAACCACTGAGCCTCTTGGGCTTGCTGATCAGAAGGTTGACAGTTTGAATCCCTGCAATAGGATCCCTGCAATAGGATGAGCTCCCGTTGCTCTGGCCCAGCTCCTGCCAACCTAGCAGTTCCAAAGCAGACCAGTGTGGCAGGAAGGTCAACGGCGTTTCTGTGCACTCAGAGGCTTCCGTCACGGTGTTCTGTTGCGCCAGAAGTGGCTTAGTCATGCTGGCCACATGACCCGGAAAGCTGTCTATGGACAAACACCAGCTCCCTCGACCTGAAAGCGAGATGAGTCCCGCAACCCCATAGTCGCCTTTGACTGGACTTAACCATCCAGGGGTCCTTTGCCTTTTACCTTTACCTCAGGTCCTCCCCTTATTGGACATTATATAACCCTTAGCACCACTGTTTATAAGCAATCACCCATCCTTATAAAGCAGGAATGGGGAACCTCAGGCTAGGGGAGGGGGTTGAATATGCCCCTCCAGGCCTGTCTATGTGGCCCATAGAACTCTCGCCATGCCACACACCCAAGGGCCACCTCCCCTTACGGACAGCCATCCAAGTGCCACATACCAGTGATGGATGGGGACACAGGCCAAAGTAGACTGAGCAAAAAATGTACCTTGGAACAGCATTATTATTAATAATAATATTAATAATAATTAAATTTGTATACCACCATATGCCCGTAAATCTCAGGGTGGTTCACAACATAAAATCACAATATTAAAAAAAACACTAAATACAGAATAAAAACAAAGACAACCCAGTCATGCCCCCCTTTCACAATGCATTTTAAAAGGGCATTGAATGTCAATCAGCCAAAGGCCTGGTCAAAGAGGGTATGCTTGCACCTCCCTCTGTCTTCCACTCAGCCAAGCAAGAGGCATTGTCAGAATTCAAGGGCATATTCCAGTCAGGCATGAAGCAAGGCCAGGGAGGGATGTGGCCTGAGGGGAATTCTGAGGGCCAGGCAGAGATGTCTGAAGGGCCGCATCTGACCCCCAAGCCTGAGGTTCCCCAAATAAACTTGAACTTGGGATAGTGTTCTGCCGCCTTTCCTGTCACAACTGAATGCTTATCAGTTATCAGAAGATCTATCTATTTCATGCAAAACCCTCATTCACGTCAGTGGAGTTGAAGGCATTCAGCCATGGGCTAAAGATAAGAGAATCAAACACACTCAATGGAAAAACAGAAAGTAAAAAAAAAAAGGGGGGGACAAGTGGGGAAGCTGCACTCTCTGCACTGACCCTCTCACCCTTCTTCATTTATAATACTGGATCCGTTCACGATGACCTCTCTCAACTCCTGTCCCCATCACTACCGGATGAAAAGAAAACACCTGTTTACATTTTCACTGCAACGAAACCATTGGCCCCCTTATGCAAAAAGCATTCATGGCTTTAGAATTACACCCAGCAGCATGTAATTCAACAAAGCACAGTCATATGCCTCCTCACACAATAATAATAATAAAAATCACTCACCAACATGAGGGGAAGAGGGGTCACTGCTAGGCCTTGGCTTGCCAATTTCTAGGGTCATGAATATGCACAGACTATCTCCATCACACACATTTTTTTACATCTTCCCCACAGCTGCAGGAGGGCTGGATTTTTGCTCGTCCCTATTGAAGCAAGGTAGATTACCCATCCTTATCTAATACACAGCATCCTGGACGCAATTGTGTGGATAAACACAGTATTGCTAGTCAAAAAAATGGGGGGGGTAGGGCATGGAGTACACAGAATTGTGGGTGGTGGTTAGGTACAGCCTCCTCTTTACCCTCACCAATCATCACAAATATGGTCCCAATGTGTAGGTATTTGTATTGGAAATAGGTAGCTGTCCAAACACATCCTCCAGAGGGGGTGGGGACCTTTATTTAACATAAAATTATCTTTTCCACTGTATATTTTTATTTATTTATTTATTTATTTATTCATTCATTCATTCATATAAAATTTCTATAACACCCTTCATCCGAAGATCGCAGGATATGCTAGGTTAATTGGATTCCGTGCTGGAAGCCTGATAGGAAGCAAAGCCATGGCCATATAATAAACTGGCCAGGTCTTCTTGCTGTTTTATATTAAAGTTCTTTGCTGCAGTTGTGAACACTGGAAACTTAAGGGCTATTTGTTATATTCCTCTTCTCTATTTGCAAAAGGTAGGAAAGGTAAAGAGAAACTGCAAAGAAACGGTAACATCCAATCAGACTCAAAAGTTCAGCAAATAAAGCCAGATTTGGGCAAGCAGTTATAGGATAAAAAAGTAAAGGGTAAAGGGACCCCTGACCATTAGGGGTTGTGGCCAACTCTGGGTGCGGCGCTCATCTCGCTTTATTGACCGAGGGAGCCAGCGTACAGCCTCCGAGTCATGTGGCTAGCATGACTAAGCCGCTTCTGGCGAACCAGAGCAGCACACAGAATTGTCATTTACCTTCCTGCCGGAGCAGTACCTATTTATCTACTTGCACTGGTGTGCTTTTGAACTGCTAGGTTGGCAGGAGCAGGGACCGAGCAATGGGAGCTCACCCCGTCACGGGGATTTGAACCACCAACCTTCTGATCTGCAAGTCCTAGGCTCTGTGGTTTAACCCACAGAACCACCCGTGTCCCTTAGTTATAGGGTAAAGAGGTGCAATTCATTCACGATCTGGAGCTCTTACTGCTCAATCCAAGGGTCAGAGTGCCTGGAATGAGAGAAGGGCATGACTCCCATGCAACATGGCAACTCTTCTTAGTGGCAAACAGATCCTCTTTTCCTACCACGCATTTAGCAATATCTCAACTTCCTTCAACAAGTCTGCATAGCTCCAGTAGCTTATATGATTCAACGTTTCAATTATGCATACTCATCCCTGTTTATTCAAGAGAAATTTGTCCAGAGGGGGATGGGAACTATCCCTGGTGCTTACTTACAATCACAGCTGCCGATTTAGGCCACTGATTGACTTCCAAGTAAACATGCATAGGATTATTATGCAAATCACCATTTTACCTGTTTTTGTGTACAAAGGGCTGAAGCCATCCTGAGCCCATGTCCTTGGGAGTTCAGGGAGTATGAGAGGATGTGAAGACTGGAATCCTATGCACATTTACCTGGGAGTAAACCCCAATGAATTCAGTGGGACTTCCTACTGAGCAGACATGAACAAGATTCCATTGGCTGACACAAATTAAAGCATTCTGAATCTGATAGATTAGATAGATAGATAGAGATGTCCCTGCACATGCTTGCCTGTATATGACAGTTATTCAGCATCTGAACTGCACGCTGGTCCAGATTCTCTTGCTACATCTACCACAGCAGGGCCACTGTGGCGTAAAGCTTACAAGTGCTGTCATTGGATTAGATCAAGCCTGAGTGGCTTAATTTTTAAGCTGACAGGAGTACCTTGGTTCTCGAACAGAATCCGTTCCAGAAGTCAGTTTGATTTCTGAAAACGTTCAAAAACCAAGTGCTCCAGAACCCTGGAATGTCGGAATCTGCTTTGTGCAGAATCTGACCCATCGGTCCACTTAGCTCAGCACTGCCTGCACTGACTGGCAGCAGCTCTCCAGGATTTCAGACAGGGAACTTTTTCAACCCTACTTAGCAATGACAAGGACTGAAGCTGGGACCCTCCTGCAAGAAAAGCAGGTGCTCTATCACTGTTCTACGGAGAGGGAGAGGGAGAGGGGGAGAGAGAGAGAGAGAGAGAGAGAGAGAGAGAGAGAGAGAGGAGCAAGAGGGTGAGAGAAGCAGCCCATGATGCAAGCATAAGACTTTCGCTTCCGGAGTCCGGATACCAAGAGAGCGGCTCCTCCATTCTTTGTGCCCGCTTTCTCGGTGCCGGGCGAGCGCAGGGGGCAGAGCGCGCCACACGGGCGCACACGCTGCCTTCGCCAAGGCATGCCAGGGAGGGGAGCGAAACGGTGGCTGGGAGGAGGACTCGGGGAAAGCGGGGGGGGGGGGCGAGAAATCAGCAGGGACCAAATGGATGGTACTGACCTGGAGGCTCATCTACAGACGTTCTCTTCGACCCCCCTGTTCCCGGCTGGCCCTTCCCCTTCCCAAAGCACCTCGGGCGCGCAATTGGGAAGAGAGGCGAAAGGCGAGGAGGGGCGCGAGCGGGCGGGGAAGGGAAACTTGAGAGAAACTGTTCGCGCTGGGGTCCAGCTTCTGCCCCGCCCTGGCGCAAGGAACAGGAATTTCTCCAGAAGGGAGCCTTATCAGCCTTGCTGGTTTCCCAGCAGCGCAGCCGGACGGGGAGGTCAATGGGTTACCCAGGAGCGCAGCTGTAAACACCTCCGGAGAGGGCGGGAGAAAAATAAAGGGGGGGGGAGGCTGCCCGGCGCAAACTGGAACGGGGCAATAATCAACAGGGTGTTTATCCGCCCCCTCCCCCGCGCACTACCTTACCAAACAATGAGAGCGCGGGAGGGGGGCGCCGCAAGTTTGCGAAGAGGAAACGGGTTGCCAAGTTGTTTACAGCCGCGTTGCTGTCCGCTGGCCTGAGACGCTGCCCGGCTTATTTGCTCAAACTAGCTCGTCTGGTCCAGCCACCTGCGCAACTCCCCCATTTCTAGGATCTCTCTCTTTCTCTCTCTCTCTCGCTCCCCCCCCCTCCTGTGCCCTTGAAAAGAGAGGTTTTTCACCGCTGGTTAAACTTCAACTGAGACTGCAGAGCTGCCCTTGCTCCTTGCCACCCGTCTGGAAAGGAAGCAAAGGCAGGGGAGAAGGGTGTGAGCTAGATTCCTGTAGGGCCGGAAGGTTCAACTGTGGCTGGCCATATGTGCTGGACTCCAACTCCCATCAGCCCCAGCCAGCAGGGGCAGTGGTCAGGGCGGGCGGGAAGTGGTGTCCAGTCCAGCAATATCTAGAGATCATTAAGATAGCCACTGCTGGTGTAAGTCTGAGTGGCTATTTCTGGTAAGTTTCCCTCTTATTCCTTCTTGCCACGTTAGGAAGTTAAATGGATTTCCAGTTGCTGTCTGAGTCTGGCCCCGGTGCCTGCATGCAGCGGTGCCCTGGATGAGCGCCAATAAACGGAGTTTGAAACCTGACAAGACCAGTTTGGTTCCCATGTCTGGGAGGCAGGCCAGTTACCTGCTATGAATTTGGTCAAACTCTCTCTGAAGGATGAGGTATATGGTCTCTGGGTGCTCCTAAGTCCATCTTTGTCGCTGGAAACGTGTTTTTAGCAGCTACGGACTCGTTTTTTCATCTTAGGTTGGTTTAAGACTACTTAGGTTGTAGTTATGTGTTTTTTTCATGCTGTAAGGTGCTCTGAGCATGGTTTGAACTGTGGAAAGATGGCATGCAAATGAAATCATGTATGTATATGTACAACATGTCATGGGCATAGACAGGATTTTTGTTAGGGAGGCAGGCCTTTTGTGGTGGGGGGAGAACCTCAGTTTGCTATATATTTTATTGATTTTTATTGATGGGGGGCTGCCTCCCTGGCTACGCCTATGACAGCTGTGACCATTCCTAGACCACAGTGAACCAGACACTGGAAATCTCAGTACTGGACTACTGCAATATGCTCTATGTAGAGCTGCCCTGTCAATTGGTCTGGAAGCTACACTTAGAGTAGAAGATGGCAATAGCTGACAACACTATTGCTGAGAGAACTGCACTGGCGGACAGTGTGCTACTGGGCCCAAGCTAAGGTGCTGTTGTTGGTTTATAAACCCCTAAGCAACTTGGAACCAGTTTGCAGGAGGGACTGCCCCATTCATTTCTGCCCAAGCAGTATGTTTGTCAGCCAAGGCACTTTCCTGATGCCACATGATGCCCACTCTACAACCACCAGAAGCAGAGCTCCCTAATGTTGTGGACCTCCCTCCCATATGTATTAAGCAAGCTTCTTCTGTTTAATCTTTAAGAAGTTTGCTCAAAACAAAACTATCTAACCAAGCCTTCCCTGTAGTAGGACCAGCTTTGCAGTTCTTTGATTGCTGAACTGTTTTTAATATTTTTATTTTGTCAAATGTTAATTGTTCGTTGCTTAGGGGAAAGTGAGCAGCATAGGAATCAGAATCTGAGAAATAAATAAACTGTGTGTGCGTGTGTGTGCGTGCGTGAATATGTATAATAGCTTAATCCATAAAAACATAGGGTTGTGAGTTTGCCTGTGAATGGATCTGCCACCATAGTTTTGCCCTAAAATGATGACTGATAAGAGTCTTGGATTTGGTACCATGATCTTAGTATTTCTAAATGGCTGTGGACTGTCCCCTGCAAGGATAGTTCACTTGGGGTCATGTTTGACAGAAGTGTGTGGCACATTGTGAGCAATAGCAGATGGCAGGGTCGGGTAGCAGTGCTTATCAGACCTCCCTTCTGTGAAGTCTCTGCTGTTTACTGGGGGGATGGGGGATGACGACAAGGTGTCAGTGAGGTCGGAGCTGCAAAAATACAATTCTTTAACCCACACTGGAGATAAATACAGGGCACTCTCTGATCAAGAAACTCAACCAGCTCCTGACCAACTGCCCTGATCTGGCCGGAAAGCTGCTTGACCAGATCTATGACAATGCTGTGAATGATGACCCCTAGGCAATGCTTGAACGAGCTTTTTACCCAAGCCAATAGGGTGTTCCTGCTGGTGCACTTGCACAATGCTGACCTTACCCACTGCCTCCCACTCTCCCTCATGATAAATCACAGTGATTCCACTGCCGGGAGGTCAGGTAAGCACCATGACCACCCCACCTTACCATCCACTACAGATTGTGTTTGAGAAAGAAACAGTAGCTGGCAGTTTTGGAGGAAACAAAGGTGGAGGAGAGAACGCAGAGAGTTTCTAGAAGCGACTAGCTGAAACTGGCGGTGCCACATTGGAGGTGGCCGCCCAAGTTCTCTCTCCTTTCTAGAAGTGCTTGTTTGCCTCTGTTTATTGTTGCCCTGTATTTTTGCAACCAAAAGTCTCCGTGCTCTCTCATCCAAAGAGAAGCAAAACCAGAAGTGCTGTCCTTGGAATTTCTCGTCGCTCAGAAAAACACATAAACAACATGGCCGATTGATTCACTAGTCAAACATAGAAGAACATCAGAAGATCCCTGCTGGACCACACTAACGGCTTGCTTAGTCTAGCATCCTGTTACCACAACCAAATGCCTCTGGGAAGCACACAAGCAGGGCATGAGGGCAAAAAGCCTCTTCCATGGTTACTCCACAGCAGCTGTTATTTATGTTAACTTCCAATACTGAATACAGTGGTGCCCCACAAGACGAATGCCTCGCAAGATGGAAAACCCGCTAGACGAAAGGGTTTTCCGTTTTGGAGGTGCTTCGCAAGACGAATTTCCCTATGGGCTTGCTTTGCAAGACGAAAATGTCTTGCGAGTCTTGCCATTTCCCCCCCCCGCTTTCCCCCCCTTTTTCTAAGCCGCTAAGCCGCTAATAGCCTTTTAGCAGCTCAGCCGCTAAGCCTTTAATAGCCGCTAAGCCGCTAAACCGCTAATAGCGCTAATCCGCTTAGCCGCTAATGGGGTTGCTTCGCAAGACGAAAAAACCGCTAGACGAAGAGAATCGCGGAACGGATTCTTTTCGTCTTGCGAGGCACCACTGTATAACATAAAGCCATCATGACAGGAGCCAATGATAGCTTTATCCTCCATGAAGTTGTCTAATCCCATTATGTTTATTCACACATCTCTCTATGAAATCATAAATGCAACCATGCCCAATGCCTCCAAAAGGGATGCACGTCACAGGAAGCATGCAGAACAATTCTGCCATTAGAAATCTCTACGCATGTTAATTCCGGAATAAATTGTTACTGGGGAATATTTTGTGTGATGCAAAATGCTCATTGTCCTTCATGGAGATCCTGAGGTGGACTGTAGATTACATTGCCGGTGGAAACAGGCCTGTTTGTTCAATTTATGGCTCACCTGGCATTCCAACCTTTGGCAGACATTCATTCAAAGGGAATCTGAAGAATGCAACACAGAGTTCATCCAGGGGTGAAACAAGCCTTTATTTTACCCAGGTCAAAGACCCAGTTTGGTGCACGCACACACCCCACACACAATTGCGTAAACACACATACAGGCAGGGAGCCCCTCTGGAGGCTTCACCCAGGGCAAAAAAAAAAAAAAAACCCCAGCTAGCTCCTTCACCCTGCCCCATAGCTATGGCACTGAGTTCATGATACAGTGGTACCTCAAGTTACAGACGCTTCAGGCTACAGACGCTTCAGGTTACAGACTCCACTAACCCAGAAATATTACCTCGGGTTAAGAACTTTGCTTCAGGATGAGAACAGAAATTGTGCTCCGGTGGTGCGGTGGCAGCGGGAGGCCCCATTAGCTAAAGTGGTGCTTCAGGTTAAGAATAGTTTCAGGTTAAGAATGGACCTCTGGAAGGAATTAAGTACTTAACCTGAGGTACCACTGTATCCATCAAAGAACATGCTACATTTAGCTGCTTGGAAGACTGAGCAGGGTTTTTTTTGTGTGTGTTTTTTTGGAGGGGCAGGGAGAGAGGAAATGGGAAGGCTACTCCTTGCTTACTTCAGGGTGGACAGGATTTCCTGGCAGCCTTTAGAAGGCAGGATGCAGTCCCTGCTGCAGGCATTTTGGCTGCTATTCAAGCCTGCAAGGGCAGCATCTTGATGCTACTGCAGGGGTAAAAAGCCAGGGGTAGCCAACAGGGTGACCTCCAGAGGATGCAAGATGATATAACCCCCTTCTTTCCTAACCACTGGACTGGACATACCGGCTGGGGCTGATGGGGCTTGGAGTCTTAACAGATATGGAAGGTACCATGTTCGCTACCCCTGGTGCCATGTTGGCCACAACATCTCAACATACAAAGTTTATTTGGGTTTGGGAAAATTTGCTAACAATGTGGTGGCAGCTTTAGCAATAATACTCAGGATTATAAAGCACTATGAGAGTTCAGAGCACACACATTATTTCATTAACCAGCACTCATTACACCCGGCATGACCTCTTTCAACCCAAGCAACAATTTAAGAGAGAAGGATCACAGTCTCCTTAACAATCCTCCAAACCCACATGCCATTCCTCAGGAACACCTATATTATTGTGACGTGTGTTTTTTTAAAAAGTATCCACAGCACATGCTCTCTAAATGCCCCTTTTTGTGGCAACTTCACCTTCAGTTAAAATCTAAAATAATACCCTGATCTTGACTCAGATTGTTCTGACCAAGGTGAAAAGGAATATCCCAGCTGCCCTGTAGCTTTAGCATCTCTCTTCCAATGTGGTAACATCCTCTTTTAGCCA